CCGATGCGACCGGCGCCGATCGCGGCGCAAAATAGTCTATCGACCCGACCTGGTGTGCCGCACAAAGGCGACGAATTAACGATATAGCGCGGATCGACGAAATTCGACGACCGGATTTTCGCAAAGGGCGACTTTCCAACGCTCGATACATCCATCACGGACGCGGAAACCGGGCATCGGCGGCGCGAAACGTTGAACGGAGGCGAATGCCTGCGATGGTGGTTTAGATTATTTTTTAAGTGGGCGTAATATACGCGCGCGCGGGGGATACGAGGCAGCATCTGCGGTGCAATTTACACCGCGTGCAACGGTGTTAGCGAAGCATATCGCTGGAAAGAGCCAGCTGGCTCTTCCCCCCTCGAGTTCCGGATCGGTATTGAGCGTCATTTTTCAAATGTTGTTACGTTATATATATATATATATATATATATGTGTGTGGCTGAATGTCGATACAACGTAGAGAAAACGTAGGCTAACGGTGATCAAGCTCGGAGTTGCAATCCGCTGCGAATGCATCGCCAATGCTCAATGCATTTTCCGCATTTCTATAATGGTAAAACATCGCGCTCCGGTTAGTTTGCCAAGGCGAACGTTGGATAAATATTATTTCTACAAAGAACAAATAATAATCTCTCGTAAATTTCGCTTCGAAATAGCGATCCCGCCAATCGGAAGAAGTTAATTGAAAATTTAAAAAGGAACTTGCGCGGACGGGAACTTGTTTTTAAGTTTCTGTTTTAACGTGCCGCTGAAATAACGCGAAATAACGAAGGGGAAATGTATAATGAATTAAAAAAAGAGCAAAACTGACGGAATTAAATTTACAATTTTAACTGCTCCTTCACGTTCGTAGACCAAAACGGATCGCCGGGCAATATTGCGAGAGGTCGAAGCTCCATCGAAGGAGGACCGCGGGAAACCTAATAGAAACCGGAGGGAAATCGTACTCTCGAAGCGTGATGCCGCCGCGCGATATTACAAACGTCCCGTACAATTGGGACGAGCGCGCGCGTTGGATGCGCAAAAGTCGGTCGTTCTCGAAATCTTATGTGACCATCAGCGGCGCGTTTCCGGCCGCTGTAAAAACCGCCGCCGCCGACGCTGAGTTCTCTCTGACGCTGCAGCCATTTTTAACGGATCGCAATGCATAAAGCGTAATAAATGACGTGCCGTAATCGGCACGTACGCGCGCGCGTAACTGGGAAATGCTGCGCCTCGTTGTTTTAAAACCTAGCGGTTTCCCACACAGGCCTTTCTCACACGTGACCGTCCCTGTCTGTGCGCCCCGTGTGTGATAAAGCAAGACGCCAGGATAATGCGCGTTTCGCGGCCGATTAGAGGCTAATGCCAAGGTCCCTTTTCTCCCGGTTAAAGGGTGAAGTCATCCTTAGCGTGGCACGAAGCGTGCACTTTGCGTTATCGCGCGGGTTCAATTTTTTGCGACGGATAATACATAATGAGAGCTTATCTCCACGAGCTATCAGTCAACACACGCGGCTCATTGTCAATCTCTTTTTCAATAGCGTTTACTTAAAGATTACTTCAACAAGTACGCTGAGAAAAAAAATTCGTTAATCCCAAGAAATATTTAGTCCGATACGTTCAATTAAACATTTTAGTTAGTTAACTAAACATTGGTTAAATTAATTAATTCTTGATTAAAGAAACTAAATAAATTGTTGAAACAACTAATGTTTAGTTAAACTAAAATGTTTAGTTGAACGTATCAGACTAAATATTTCTTGGGATTAACGATTTTTTTTCTCAGTGTAGAATAAGAGTAATTTCAATAAACAAGAATTGTCGACGAATGGTATTTGAGAGGACAAAGATCAAAGGAGCAAGTCTGTGCCCTTAGAAAGTAAATGATGCCAAGGAAGGACGCTGTATCAGTCTTATGAGAGTCTAATTAAATTGCAGTAAGTTATTTTAGTAAATATCTTTATAACGAAAAAAGAACTAGTTATTTTAACGGCACGATCTCGGATCTCTCAGAATAAAAATTTACGCTCTTATTCGTGCTCGAAATTATCAGAGCTTGATTTGAAAAGGAAGTTAATCTGTTTAATATATATCGGTCGTTTCAGTTCCAAGATACTGTTACGAGAAGAACGAAATTCTGCGTCTCTCTAAAGTCGTGAGATCATACTTTATTCAATGTTACTTGACGTTCGTTTTAATTGTTTGCGATTGTACCTTCTCAACAACGAGCGCAAAATTCCGCTTGAACCTTAATTAGAGGGCTAATTGACTAATTAAATTCAATTCTGAAGATACTGGAAATGACGCTCGGGGCGGATATTTAAAGGGTCATAATCGTTAAAAAGGAATTAGATAGGAGACGATGGCTTAATCTTCCGAAATTAGCGCGCGAAAATTCCTTTTGAAATTTTCCGTCGCATTCCGAGCGTATCTAACTGATCGTAATTTTTCAATGTAAGAAGAGTATATTAAAAATTAACAGTCAATGTTAAGGAAAAGTGAGAATGTCCAACGCTGTCCACTGTCGTGTTCGCCGATAATAAACCACGCGAGATAAAGAGCGAGCGTGGGTCTTCACCGAAAGGGAAATAGTTTTATCAGCGTTCACATTATCAGCGTAGGCTCTCTATCGAAATACAGCCAATCTAAGGGTAAACGTACCCGTCTCGATATCCGTATCGCGACGACAAAATATATAGCGTCGCCGGGTGCGCGCGATAGTAATCGGAAGAACTTACCGTGGCGTGCAACACGCGACACTATATTGATTAAAGTGAAACTCGAGATTTTAAAGCGAGTTCACTGCTTTACGGATCAATTACGATCGCCGGTGGGCGGGGACCGATAGACTCGATGCAGAAATGTGAAGGTCTCGCTTGGCCTTCGGGGTCTCTTTGATGTTTCGCGAGAAAAGTCGTCGTGTATTTTTGCAGTCACGAAAAAATACCCGCGAAATAATATTCCTCCGTTTATTTAAACCTTACTCTTTACGTCCCACGTCTTTAGCCGCTTCGACGGAGAGAAGATCCGAGGTATCGCCTAGCTCTTTCTCTTTCTCTCTCGGTGTCCAGAGAGAGGCATATAGAATCGCTAACTCGCTTAACGTTAACTGGATGTTTACGACCTGCGGTAAAACGCGAAAAATCGATAGGCCGAGCAAGCGTTGTCGTCGCACGCGAATGCGGACGTGAACTTTATCGGGAAGCTGACCGATCTTCGCAGCGATCGACCGACCGTCCGACCGACCGCGCTCCGGCGACGTCGACGTCGGGGTGGCGATGACAACGACGACGGGGGCGAGACGCCGAGAAGGCGGCCGGTCTAATAGTTCAATTAACTCGAGTCTACCGGAGCGCGGTATATGAATATTTGAGCGGTCGAGGAGAGCAAGCTTCCGATGCCGAGACAGGAGAGAACATCTGCGGCATGATGAAATCCGCGTGCCCGGGAGGTCGTCGGAGGAGACACGCGCGTCACAAAGTCGATCTGCAAGCGCATTCTTATCGCGCGTGCGATTGATAGACGATGGCATTCCAATTACGGTGACGGCTCCGTAGACGTAGATACGAGGCTACTCGAGACGAGTCGCGGCAAAAACCCGTCCTCGGAGAGCTGCTGTGACGTAATACGAGCGGATTCCGCGCGAGATTTCTGGAAGAAGCTCGGGAGCTGAAAAGGTGTTCTCGGAATTAAAATCTGAGATTTTAGGATAAGTCGCGATGGATAGCGTTGTAAAGTGAGAGAAATATTGTATCGCGTTAAGTTCAATTATTACGGTAATACGCTATTGTATTGAAATTCTCGTAAAACGAGCGGTTAAAATGACTGTGTTCCGTGCTTTCCCTCGAGCTGGTACTTCTTCTTCTTCTTCTTCTTCTTCTTGAATTAATGGCGCCTGTCTTTCGACAGAGACAATACAGCCAGCTTCGTGTAATATATATATAGTAGGAACCCTTTCTTGTTATATTTTTCCCAAAAGTCTTATAAATTAGGATAGACGCTGTTTTTAAAACTTTCGAGCTGCTGCACGACCCAGCTTGTGATTTATGCGCGTCTTCTGTCGAAAGCGTGAAAAGTAACGTTTGCATGGACGTTATAAGCGTCCGAAATTGAATCGCGATGATCGATGCGGCATTTTTTTTACTGACGTGTATTAAATACACCGTTCAATTAAAAGCAATTGATGGCGGTTTGCGTTCGATAAATATGCAATGCCGTTTCAAAGCCGCCGCGCCGCGCGGTGTCGGGTTTCCGTGTAGAAAATTGGATAAAAATTTGTTAAACAAATTTACGTAGCCGCAGCGCGCGCGCGCTCGTGCGCGTGTGTGTGTGTGTCGCGTGCGCAAAATTCTCCCTTTTTTTTCCTCGCACGGCAGGCTTCCGCTTTCGACGCACATTTTTCGCACGGAAGCCGACACGTCGCAGCTATAGACGTGCCGCTTCGATTCGTGCATGCGAAAGGCCACAAACGGCTGGTTTTTCCCCCTGACAACAATTCGGAGAGCGGAATCGCCGCATCTCTTCGAGCGTGTCGGAGAAGCTCAATGATTAATTCAGAACCTCGCGCGGCGAACGAGAATCAATATTCGACAACGGCAACAGCTGATCGGCCGACGAATCAAAAATATCCCGGCCGTCGCGCCGATCGGCGAGTTTCAAAGACGCGAAGAAGGACGAAGAAAATCGTGAGATTTATAAGACACGCGCGTGTCGGCGACAACGCAAAGGCGGGCAAAAAGTGGAGCGGCCGCTAACTAAGCGATATTTCGCTCCTGGAAGAAAAAAAAAAGAGAAAGAAAGACGGCGGAGAGAAAGAAGAAAAAAAGACAAGAAACGCTTCTCCTCCAAAACGCCGTTCTTCAAAAAAAAAAAAAACGCGTGCGTGGACGAAGCGCGTGCGGTTGCGACACGCACGCGAGTCGGGAGTCGGGAGCCGTGTGTGTGCGTGTCGGAGGGGGGCGAGCAGGGGGCAAGGTGCCTCTCTCGGCCACCGGATCGGACGACAGGTTACTACTCACGTTGGATGCTGCAGCGTCAGCATATCGGCGCACCCGGGAGGACGAAGGACGACGCGTGCGATCCTCGCGCGAGGACGGCACCGCGAGGAGGAGCGCGCATTCGCGTCCTGGGATCCCGGGGGCCGACGATCTCCGGCCGGGGGGGACGACTCGCCTCAGGAAGCGACTGCGGCTACGGCTGCGGCGACCACGGCGGCGTACGGGCAGTCAAAGCGCATCCGGCATCTCTCCGCACGGCCTCCCTCGGTCTCGCGCGCACTCGTGTACGTGAACCTTTGCCGCGTATGTGACCCCGACGACGCTCTCTCAAAGAGTGATGGAGCGTGTGGAGTCCGTGGAGAGGACGACGACGGAACGCTTGCTTCGCGACGCGGCACGACGATACCCGCCGTCCCGCGAGACTCCCGACCACGCAGCAGGTTCCGCGACTACTTGGCTGCTTCTGCCAGTGTTCTGTTCTGTTCTGCCTGCCTCCGCTCACCGCTGTCGATTCGCGTTGTTCGGCACCGAGCGCGCACCGCACGGCCGCAAAGCAACGGGCAGCGCTCGTCGCGACGGACTGGGGAGGGGGAGCGTGCACCGGAGCTGTATACGTATGCGCGTACTCCGGACTCCTCCGTCTCCTCACTCCGGTACTCCCATGCTCCGGTACTCCCACCACTTTTGAGGCTAGGTGCCGCGCCAGCGCCTCGACGACGACCGTTGGAATTGGAAGGTATTATACACGGCGGTATACGGTTTGTCCGGTTTGTCGCTAGGTCGGCCCTTTCCCCTCGTCCCTCCGCGTCGCGGCGCCCCTGGAACCGAGCTTGCCGTGCGTTCGGACGAGGCCGGTGAACGCGGCATTACACATTACATGGAATGGACGTCAGTAGGTGCGTACATACATACGTCAGTTCGCGATGTATTGTGATATTTTTGACGTTTCTACTTTTAATTATTGTAAATGTCTACGTGCATCCTGTTATTACAGAGCTGCGGCTGGATTGACGTTCACATTCCTACGGGATTGTCCGTTCGGATGATTCCTCTTTGAACTGAAACGATAATCTTTTGTTATCACAGGATATGATGTCGATGGAAACCCGAAACGAAGTTTAAATTCTTGTGCAGCTGTCTTTAATGTTATTGTTTGCCATGCGCTTTTGACAGATCACATATGGTCTGAAGAATCGTACGCGCATTTCCCTGGCAGGCTTCAATAAATATCACATTGTGCGGTGAAACGCAACGCAATCAAAAATGGAAAACGATAATCCAGTTATATATGGGCTCGAATTCCAAGTATGAAACCTGTCAGAGTTAATTTTGCGAATACTGACAATGAATAAACCACCCACTAAACACTAACTAGCACTAATTAAGTTATAATATTGTTTCAATATTATAATTTCCTACTCAACGATTTAACTGTCATGTACAACATGTATTGTATTACACTTACGTGTTGAGTGAGAAATTATAATATTGATATAATGTCACTTTTAGAGCGGCATAACTTTTTATTTTATGGTATTTCATGCTGCCGCTAAGTAACATTGTCTGCTACTTCCTACTGCTATTTAAATGTCTAATTTGCTACTTACTATTTGTTCCTCGTTGCTGTAGAAACTTTTAAGTTATACAAGAGATAAACGTAATGCTGTTTTACGTTTTAGACCAGAGCACTGTCGGCTCAAACGGCCGAGACGGATATCGTGAGATTCTTGGTAGGAACGCAGTCTTTAAAATTCAACAACAACCAGGTTCACTTAGTAGAGCTTAATGAGGAAACAGGAAACTTGAAGACGCAGGTGTTTCAGCATTCAGTAGGAGAAATTTGGTCCTTACAGGCTTCTCCGACTGAATCTGATATATTTATTACGTGTTACAATAGCTTGAGTGGTAAATAAGTTTCTCACGTATTCAATTTCCTAAAGTAACATTTTGTTGTTCAAGCTGAAATTAATGGATTGTAAATTTTTATTAATAATAATAATAATAATAATAATATATTATATATTTCGTGACATAAAATATATCTGATGGTTCCAAGAACCTTTATTTTCCTAGAGGAAGGTTCCTGTCAGATGAAAGGAGCTATCTGGAGATTTCCTGAGATAAAAGAATACACTAATGATATTCTGCAACTCGATAAATTAGCTGATATCGATACGACTCCATATGGCACCGATCTTAAAACGATTGCCTATCATCCTATGGATAGTAAGAAGGTTGTGTCGGTAGTAGATAACAATTTTGTTTTATGGGATCTGGCTGAAGGACCACAGGTATTGATCTCCTCTTCATATAATCAAGGATACTCTATTATTGTACATGAAATTTATCTTTGTTGTTTTTAAGATTATCCTCAATAATTTAAATTTTTTTAACCCCACTCAGGTTATGGTATCAGGCACCTTAGCAGGCAAAGGTCAGCCACGGTTTACGAACGGTAAATGGAATCCTCACAACGGTGCCAATCAATTTGTAACCTTGAACGATAACAACGTTCGCGGATGGGATTTCAGAAGTCCAGCCAATGCTGCTTGGTCTATTTTATCCGCGCATTCACAAATCATCAGGTATAATAATGATATAAAGATTAATTCTCGATAGACGTGAATTCATCTCTCCGCGTAACTCGTTTCTCAGGGACTTGGATTTCAATGCAAATCGTCAGTATTTTCTGTCTACTTGCGGCGACGATGGATACATGAAGTTCTGGGATATCCGTCTTCCGACGGAACCGGTGCTGTCACGTATGGAGCACTCGCATTGGGTGTGGAACATAAGGATCAACCGATTCCACGATCAGCTTGTTTTAACGTCCAGCAGTGATTCCAGAGTGATATTGTGCAGCATCGCGTCCATATCGTCTGAACCATTCGGACATATGGTGTCAGCGGAAGACGAGACTTCGCAAAACGAAGAATCTTGCGGGAAAAAGAAGTAAATATATCAAGCAACGATACTTTTTTAACTAATCTACATGTAAAATACAAAATTTTGTACATTTATGATTCTAGATTAGAAGATGGTCTGGTAGGAAGGTACGAGGAACACGAAGACAGTGTGTACGCAGTGGAATGGTCGTCCGCCGATCCTTGGACATTCGCATCTCTCAGTTACGACGGCAGATTAGTTCTCAATAAAGTACCGCGTAAATATAAATATCAAATACTTCTATAAATCCACAATATTCAACGAAAAAGTGGAAGTAATATTACATGCCTTATTTATTGTAAATTTAATTTTGTACCTATATATCATGTACATAATTATTGACATTGTACATATGTGTATACCTAATTTTAGGTATAAAATAATGTTTAAATTGTTATATAACAAGAGAATGTATATATATTTACACGTATGTATGATACAGATAAATAGAACATATGGATATTAGAACTGTTCCGAGATCTTACTAGCTATGTTTCTTAATTGTCCGTAAACCTTGGAGGGTGGACTGCCCAAGATTAAATTGCATATCGCTCTGCGAGCTAATTGTATATTCTGAAAAGAACCGAGTATATGTATCTTGGTATCGGCCAGCACAATTCTGGTCTTTGTTACGTTCTCGATGGTAAACTTCGTTCTTCCACCCTTGCCCGCTAATCTCCCAACCGCCCGAGACCGGTGATCCCCTTTCATTTGCTGCCTGACGTCTTGTATCTCGAACGACTCTACAAACAGGTCGTCCAGGCGTAACAACGCCAAAGCGTCCTCCACCTCGAATCCGCAGATGAACGCTTTCACAAAGTCCGCCGCTTTTTGGAGATACGAAATGTCCGGGGTCTCCGGTGCCGTTCTAATTTCTACATTTCTGGTCTTCAGATTGAAACGTATTTGTAGCTTCAGATGTTCAGTGACGGGTGTAAATATTTTTAACCAGTTTTCCTTCAAAGGCGAGTATCTGTGCGCTGGTACCGATATCTGCAATAAAAATAATTTGTGTTAAAATTAAGTTCATATATAAATTTTTGTAATATACTGTACTATACTATATTATATCATATAATTACCTTCCTCTGTTCTCCTCCTTGTACGTTCTTAGCTTTCTTTTTAGCCGGTTGCTGCTTTACTTTTCCCTTTATTCCATTGACTATCTCTACCTAAAGAAAAAGAAACCTTTATTCGTACTATGATATAACGATAAAAATGAAACATGAAAGAAACGATTTTCAGCGGGTATCTTTTACGAAATACAGTTATATTCTTCGATCGAAGTTGTCTTCAAGCTTAAAACAACACTACTTAAATCAACAAGTACCTCCATGCGATTATCGTCGGCATGGCGTTTCTTGGACGTTTTCGCCACTTCATCAGTCTTCTGCTGAGGCTGAGGTTGAGGTTGATCCGCGATGCTCATCTCTCGCGTGGTTTCCTCCATTTTCTACGAATATATCTGAATGTTTTACGAGAATAATCTGTCCTCTCTTGTCGCGTGGCTCGCACGTGGATGCGTGGATCAATGATGAATGATGCCAAGGCGAAATTGTTCTAGGTTAGGTTTTCTTTCAACTTTCTATTACCACGTGAAAATCGGTCCGCGTCGTAGAAAAGGATAAAGCGTATGTGCGGCTAATATCTTATCTCTTTTCATCCAACACCGTAATATTGGTTATGGAATGAACACTTGTAAACAAGGTGAAAAATGCAGGGCGAAAAGTGAACAAATTTATTAAATTTTGATCAATGAAATCCTAGATACTCTAGTGAATTCTCTCACTTTTCCCATGGTTTCAAGATACGTGAAGCCCGGTGTCCACGATGCAAGAACTGTGTCCAAGTTACTACTACTTTTGCTACTTTTCTGTTAGAGCTGCAAGTTGATTGGCTTAAATCGAAACTTGGACACAGTTCTTGTATCGTGGACACCGGGCTTTAATAGGCTCCCTGAACTTAGAGACTTTTTAGGTATAAAATAATAAGCAAAAGATAATAGGCATAAGTACTATATATATGTATTTTTATGTATATATTACTAATAATGTATATTTTGTAATTTTTAAATACATAATAAAACACATATTGCATTACTGATACGAGACAAATGACTTAAATATCCTCCTATACTCCTATTCTTATATATTTCTACGAACTAAACAGAAATTGCATAAATTGCAATTCCTGGAAATTAAAATTCAAAAATTTTAGCATAAAATCTGACTTCATGATTTCAACACTCGACAAGAATTTTCAATTCTTGATTTATCAACATAAAAAATTTTCAGTTCCTAAGTTTATCAACATAAAAAATTTTTCGATTCTTGATTTATCAACATAAACAATTTTCAATTTCTGATTTATCAACATCAAAAAATTTTAATTTTTATTTATTAACAAAAATTTTTTCGATTCTTGATTTATCAACATAAAGGTTTTTCAATTTCTAATTAATCAACATCAAAAATGTCTAATTTTTAATTATCAACATCAAAAATTTACAATTTTTTATTTATTAACATCAAGAATTTTTAATTCCTGTGTTTATCAATATAAAGAATTTTTGATATGAGATTCAAAGGATTTTTTGGAAGGAAAGGAAAGAAGAGAATTAAGATAGAATAAGTAATACTTTATTGCTTTCTGTAAAATGCTTCAATTTTATTTTTCTTATTTTATTTACATCAAGAGTAATATTATAATTAAAGTTAAGCATAATTATTGTAAACGAAATAAATTAACTATTGCAAATTGTGGTTTCAATTTTTACAAATTACCGCTAAAATTAACAATCTTTAACATAAACAAAATATCAGGAGAACAAAAATTGCTGTGGAAAGATTATGCGCTATTTAAAATCTAGGAATCGCAGAATTCGGGATTTTAAATGATAAAAATTTAAAGTCTAGTAAATGGACAAAGTATTAAGAGAAATAATTGACGAAGAGGATGCACTATCTAAAATTCCAAGAATTCCGAAAAAGCATCTAAAATATTTCTACATCATAATTTTTTAAGGAATTATAAGAGGTAAGAATTTCGAAAGTTACTTAATTCAAAGAAATTAAAGCAATGTACATACAAAATATTGAACAATGTAAAAATATTTTAATAGTTGGAAAACGCTCCTTCTTACAAGTTTATATGTAATGCTATATACTTATGGCTAAACGCAATGTTTAATTTTTTAATTAAAAAATACATATATAATCGTATTCTAATTTACATGAAGTTTATAGACTATACAATAAACAATACCTTCCGCATTATAACGCAAGAAAAAGAGAAAGAACATTACGCGGCTGTCCTCGTCCTACAGTATGCATGAGCGGGATTCAATTGACCACGTCGCCAATTGATTTAAAATAAAAATATCTGATTGGTTGGTACAGGGGAAAACTCCAGGTATCGGGGGCTGAAGAGTGGCTGTGGTCAATCGCTGTGGTCAAACGGGACGCTCCCTTCTGCTTAACAGCGCGAGTTCTGATTGGCTTCTGCTTTCCTGCTTTCTGCTATTCTGCCAAGGTGTGAATTTTTCTGAAGAGCGTGCTTCTCGACCGCAGCCCTGCTGAACGCGTCCATTATTTCTTCTTGCAGATTCTGCAAGCCATGGTGTAAATAGACAATTCCCAGCAAGAAATAACCCATCGAATCGACGTCTATAGACGTCTAATTAGTAGACGTCGATAGATGTCGATTCGATGGGTCATTTCTCGCTGGGTTAAAACAACAAGTACGTAAAATAATGATGTATCTTAATAATTACTTACTTCATTATTGTTGATCTCTGCGACCGTTTACACGTCCTTCTTACGTCGATGTAGTAACCCTAAGCCTCTTCATCAACCGACTTTAAGTTACTACACCGATGTAATAACTTCGTCGTAAAAGAGTGTTTACACGGCATCTAACGTTAGTAGTTATAACATCGATGTTATAACTTCGGCTTAAATCGGGCCGTGTAGACGTAGTCTCTATGTTCATTGCACCAATTTAAACGGGTAAGAGCAATAGCTGTGGGTGTGGCTGCGCCAAGTGTGCCGAACATGATTGATCCCATTCCAGTAGCGCCGAGGGATTGCAAGTTCGCGAATAAAGTTCCAGCGGCTACGTTACCGATGGAAGCGTGCCACGATGCTGCTAACGAATTAGCCGTAACACCACCGTCGAATCCAATGAGTGGCAAGGCATAGTAACCCAATGCGCCGCCACCTATGCATGAACCTATTATAATTTTACGCAGTAATCTCAGATTTTCGTCGCACACTAAAGTACGATCGCACACGCGACATTTTTCGAACATTGTGCATTCGACAGAATGTTATATTAAATTGATGACGATAGCGCGTGTGCAAAGATTAAATTGATAACGATATTGTATGTGCAAAGATCAAAGATCTTCTTCTTCCTCTGGTTTATAGCACACAGGTGCTATTCCGAACGCAGCCATAAGGTGGAAGCACATAAAATTGCAGGAGCCATAAGCAGAAGGCAGAAGCCATATGCGCATGCGCTATGGTATCTGTAGAGCTTTATAAATACCATAGCGCATGCGCATATGGCTTCTGCATTCTGCTCAAGGCTCCTGCAATTTTATGTGCTTCCACCTTTAAGGGCCAATTTCACCAACCACAGTTAGCTTAACCGACGGTTAAAGTTAACAGGATTGACCAATAGAAAGCAGGGTGGATTCATTTCTATTGGTCAATCCTGCTAACTTTAACCGTCGGTTAAGCTAACTGTGGTTGGTGAAATTGGCCCTTAGCGTACCGCAAAATTCAACAGAACTTCTTCTCTAAAGCCTTGTGTACACGATACTAGAAATCTGTCCGAATTTCGGTTTAAGCCCATCAACTTGCAGCTCTTACAGAAAAGCAGCAGTTTCATTGGCTTAAACCGAAACTCGGACCGATTTCTAGTATCGTGTATGTACACAATAAAGCTTAAGAAATAAAAATGCGTGAATCATGTAAAATTTTAAATATATATTTAATAAAATATAATAAAACTTTAAATAAATAAATTAATTAACGGACATAACGGATGACGCGCTGACAGGAGCAGCCATATTGCTTTTCTTGCAAAACGGGTCGCGCGCTGATTGGCTCAAAAACTGAACGAGTGCGCACCGTCGGGAGTGCTTCACCTGTCTACTTACACCATGATTCGTATGTGTCCATGATAGGAGCCAAAAAGCCGTGGCAACCTCGCTATCGCGAGATATCCTTTCCACCCGGCTTTATCTCCTTAAAAACTCGCTTTACAACTGTTTTGTTGCATCATGCTTTATGCCATTATAGAAAAATATTTTTTTTGTTTAGTTGATTATATGCGTCGGAAGATTCAATAGGAACAAATTTTCGTTATAAAATTATATGTTAAAGGATAAGATAATTATGTAGTAATATGTTTATTATATAGCAAATTGCGACAATATATAATTATATAGCAAATTGTATAGAAATGACTCCTCGCAAATTCTCGCTTTTTGTAATCATTACTGCTGGAATATATATTTTTTAGGCAGCGCCTAGATTCGACAAGACGATGCATTATATGCGAATTGTCGTTTTTGTTAATAGAATTGCAAAATAGAGACGGAATTCATCGATTCTCGATAGCATCTGATCTGAAAGGTCAACAGGTTCGCGTGTCGGTCATCCGCGTGAATAATTTCCGCGATGTGATGAGCTTATACAGAAAACTTTGTTCGCAAAATCATTCTGCTTCGATTTTTCTATCATTGTAAAAAATGATACGAGACACAACAATTTTATCAGAGTGTCTTCTTCATTTCCGATCGAGCGTCGTCTTCCAAGAGAGATGACTGAGATACGAATATATAAATGTACACAATTAGAATAGAATCGTATCGAGCGCGAATAAAGAGATTCGGATTAGAAAATTGCAATTTTCATATGAAGCGTGAAAACGAAAAGATCCATCTATTCGTGTTTTTTACATTACGCATTGCATGTATAATACATATACATTACAATTTTAAAATATATTTCGCGTAAGAAAGTAAACGTCAAATCTTTTGTATTATTATATCGATTGACAATTCTAGCAAACGACGAATAACGATGCAAGAGATAGCAGCAAATCGTGGATTATTGTGGAAATTCTGTAATTTTCACGTGGCAATTGTTTTCGATAGACCGAGATCTTTTGGCAGTATCAATTAAAAAATAATCGCTACATAAATGAGTTGCGGTGCATTTGATACAATAAAAATATTGAACGTAAAAGTACACGTAAATTATATAGCAATCCGCTCGCGTTAAATAATTAGAAATAACGGCGAGCCGCTCGATGAAAATGGGTAGAATGCAATACAAAACAAGCAAACGCATCAGTTTTTTTTTTTATAACACATTTTTCATTGTCTTATAAGTCTATGGTAATTAATAATTAATAACAAGAAAAAAACCTTTTTCATCAATGTGTCTACAATAATTATTAAAAGATACAATTAGCAAATTACTATGTTGTGTATTCACTTTGTGTAATAATAGGTAATAATATAATTGTAATATTTTCTCCATATAATCATAGCGCGATATCTCTCACGTGCTCAATCGTTTCTACAAATATAATATGGTATCTAATTCTTTATTTCATATCTATATCTATATATATATATATTTTTTATATATATATATATATGTATATATATAGATTTATATCCACTTGGATTATTATCAATCGTTTACTTCCTTTTTTTACTGCTATTTATATATCGTATAACCAAATACTAAAAATACAAATGTTTTGCATATAGCAGGTTTTAAAATCATCAAACCACATATCCATCTGGTGATCTTAAAACGCACATCCATATACATAATATAATTTTTTTGCGGCTCTGCCTACAAAATTAAGGAGCTCGTCAAGCACGCGATTATATTATACATATATATATTATATATATATATATATATATATATATATATATATATATATAAACAGACGTAAAAGATCATTTGTTATCGGCATAATTATTGTAGATTGCGATGGTAGCATGTGTAGCATAGACTTTACACCGTTTATACGAACCACGAAATATCAACACTGATTATTTATTGAGCTTCTCACACGTACACCCGCATCTCAAAATCGCTGACGGCGCTGATGCCGACAGTTGCCTGCCATCGTTACTCCGGCATCCGATCTTTGGTGCATTATTTAACCGCTCCCTCTTACATTGCATATGCGATTACACGGCAGAGATACTCTTTAGAAGCTCCTTAATTATGCGAGCGCGCTAAAAATGTCCGCTTATACTTAAAGATACTTGTATTTACACAAAAGAGCTTACTCTCGTTTATAATCTATACAATCATATAAATGTAATATTCAATGATAAAATTGTAACATAATAATGCCTAGCCTATCTATCTAATGCGAAAGAGAATATTTTTTTACATCGAAATTACAATCCTTCAATTATTCCTGCATATTCTGCAATTAAATTATTATGTATATTACACTCGATCCTATTTGCGTTATAGGATATGGATTAAATCAAACGCGCGAGTCCTGTACCCATTTTCTTCATATTTTTTATGTACAATATAATCAGGTTGTGTAATTTCCCATCCGAGTAAAATAAGCACGCTATTATATACAATATATGATCCAGTGTATATTTGTATATGTGTCTGTCTGTATGTGTTTCTTGTTTCTACAATAGAAATAAATTCTAATAAACAAGCAATATTCTAACTAAATAATTTAAATCGATATTGAAAATAGGAACAAATTCAACGAAACTACAACCCAAGAAGCAGTCTCTGTCTCTCTTAATTTTCTGGGCATATAGATCGGTGAAATTCTTTCCTATTTTAAATATTATTAAATTCAGTATTTAATCTTAGCGTGAGAAAAGCATTTCTATTAAAGAAGGGTCGCCTGGTAGCCATCGAGCCTTTGGGAAAAGTATTGGAAAATTTCTTTTTTTATGCACACACTACGTAGTTGAGCATTGCGCTTATCGTACTTTGTACATTCTATGCTTGTAACAATTGTTACGACAATCTTTCTTGTATCATATAATAAACGTTTACTTGGTCTGTGACGAGAAATCGGAGATTTATACAAAATCATCTATGTTCAGAAACAAGATTACGATCACATTTTTAATACACAATTTTTAACAGTGTATACATATTGGTATAATTCACAATCACAATCGCAGACAAATACCCTAAGAACGTATTTATCCGTATTGATGTGTCACAGAAAGTTGTCTATAGAGCATTTAACACACATATGTAACATCTACAGAAAATTAAAGGGAATCTGGAGGAACGTAGCTAAGATAAATAATTGATTATTAACAAATTATCAACGTACATATATAATTATTGATAATTCATGAAATATTATTTGCTAAATGATATCCTAAATTTGATTTGTTGTGTGAAAAGAAGGATGTCTATTATTAGAACTGGATAAGAAATGCACATTTTCATGAAAAATTTGAACGGTGCTACGTGATGACTACTGCAGGCTCAGCTAGAACTTTAAAGATCCTCAACTGTGGTGTAAGTTATATTTATACAATACAAAACTAGATTATCTGTTCATGAAAACAATAATCGATATAAATCACATACATAGATTTACATTTGTATATACGTATGCACATATAATTCAATGTGATTTTAAATTTGTATAAGAAGAGTTAGTATCTTAATTACATGAACGCGAGAGAATAATTAATAATAATGACAATTACGACTTCTTGCACGATTTTAATTATTACTAATTTAATAAAAATTTAAACAGTTCCTATATATACAACGGGTAGTGCTTTTTGTCCATCTTTACAAGAAATTATTTACAAAATATATTCATTCATATATTACCTATATCAAATTAACATTTTTTTTGTATTAATTAGTTTTCTTATAATAGTTATTCTTATCATCTTCACATATTCATGCATGTCTTCCAACGTTCACTGTATTTACGTTTCATAAATAAAATAAATCCTTTTTCAAAAGTCCTATATATCCCGGCCTCTGCGATATTATAACTCAAGACGAACCTCTTACTGAAAGACTATGTTTGCTAAGTCTGAAAAAACAAAAATATTACAATAATGTAATTACGAACTTAATCGCTAAATTGCTGGTTAAAATATACATCCATCTCTGGAATATAAATTACAAATGTGAAAAAACACAGCTTTCACGTTTGTCATTGTCCTTATATATCAATATGTAAATTTATTCCCAATATTTAGGTGTAATTGTGGCATAATTGTCCGAATATCGGACCAACGTCTCAAAAACATTTTCATCTTTCGCATAGATAAGTACGAAAGCGTTTTACTGCTTTGTGTCGTGGCGTGGAGCTTACAGCATATGGCAGAAACTAATCGTGCGAAAAATTCATATATTGTTATTTTATGTATATATACATATATAAATGTATATATATATATATGTGCACTTTACCTACATATATATGTACAGAAAACTTTCATAACAAATAGAGATGACACACAATAAATTAATATGTATACACAAACAGAGACATTTGTCTAAACAGAGTCTATCAGCAAAGTCGTCAGAGTAGCAAATCTAAGCTCCACCAGTTAGTAAATTTGTCCACGGTAAATATGTATTTTACTTACGGCAGTACAATCGGATTCGCGTTTTTAATGCCTTAAAAATTTGGACTTTCTTTTACCGTTATTACTTTGTACTGATACATACAATGAACGAAAGGAATTATTATGAGAGAAGATGATTCCCGAAACATAAATATAATTTGGGCTTCTTTAAATTTTCTTAAATCTCTATAAAGCTAGCTCTTCGTCTCGTTTACATCTAATAACGACGTTAGAAAATTGCACATCGAAGAATGAAATTTAGTACTTGTCGATAGAATGAAACATTTGACTGGTAAAAGAAAGTTACATACAATATCTCGGCAGTTTTGGATTAGTTCAGTTACTTAGATCGTAGTGTGATGCATTTGAGCAAGTTATATCTGAGTAACTAAACTTTGCTGTTTATAAGGAGTACGGTATAAACGAGAATGCTAGACGGTGAAAAGATGACTAAAGCAAAATTGCTTTCGTCCTTTAGTTCGTTCTTTATATGCGCTATTCTTAGATATTTAAAGTTATAACAAATAACAAAAAATGGATGGTTCATTAAATATACAAAACTCTTTTCAAACAATATTTTTTTTCAAACTTGCAACAACATAATCCTTATACTCTATACTTTAGAGAAAAAAAAACAGAAAGGACAAAAAAAGAAAAGGAGACAAAGAAAACGTGAAGACGTGAAAGAATGAACAGAAATTCATAGATGCTATCTTTTATCCATGACTAATTTAATATCGAGACCAATAAATGTTTTACAGCACGAGATGCTTTCACACCGTCCAGCACTTCTTTTTAATATATTATACGATACTCCCGGTACACATACAGCAACGTTGTGCGCTAGTGTGACGCATACAGTTTCACCAGGTGGGATCCAGCCACACGGCAATCAAATACCCGTTTATGTCGGATTTACAATCAGACAGATAGGCCTTGACGAGCGGTAGCTAATCACTGTCAAGGTCACTTCCCGAAGGTCATTTGTTTTCTCGGGATATTCGCCTCCGTTTCGCTTGTTCCGCCGTCTCCGCCGTTACTAAAACAATGTTTTCCCGCTGTACGAGGTGTTCTCAGTTAAAATAGTATGCAAAACATACAAAAAAAAAAACGCTAAAACATCTATGTCTCTCAATTAATGTGAAACTTGGCTATATTTGACATAATGACATGCCAAGAACTTGGGAGAGAAAGGATAAAAAATAGAATAGAAACTGCAAATTTTAATGAAACAGACCTTTTGCATATTAACAATAATACTAGAAATAGACATGCTAGTCGACAATAAATTGATAATTGCAAATCTAGAGATTAAGTGCAGTCGTGTACCCTTTAGGTGAGGCTATTCTAAAGAGTAAATCGATTACATACCAGCACCACTACGAGTTTTCCTTCTGTTAATATCGTCCGAGGATTTGGATGCGCCCCTAGTGTTGCTTGCTGGTGTAGCTAGAGGTGAAGCTGTATTCTGCCGTACAGACCTTCTTGTCGTTACTTCGCCCACAGACTCGTTGCTGGATACGGAAGTGCCCCGTAATCTCTCCTTCCCAACAGTAACTGCCGCCGTTGCCGTTGCCACCGTTGCCACCGCCGCCGTAGTCGCAGTCGCAGTCGTGATCGTCGTGATCGTCGTCAATGTCGGCGTCGTCGTTATTGTTGCTGTTGTTATCGTCATCGTCGTCATCGCCGTCGTCGTCGTTGACGTCGTCATCGTCGTCGTCGTCGTCATCACAGTTGCCGTACTCGGTTGCTTGGTGGTTAACAAACGGCTCTCTCTTTGCACTCTATTACTGGCATTGAAATTTGATATATTACTGGAATTAATTTGACTGCCAGAAACAGCTGTTTCTGTTTTAAAAAAAAAACTGCTTAAAAAAATTCACTTTAAAACAAAAGCTTATCTTACGTAGCGGAACTCTCAAATCTCAAGAGATTAGTTTTCTATTACTTTTCTGGCCACCGTTAAAAGAATGCGTTCAGTGTTGCTTACTTTTGATCTTTGGGCTTTGGGGAAGCAGCGGATGTTTCATCTGACAATCGTACTCTTGCTTTTCCTACAGACTCAATCAATGGTTCGTCATCAGACGAATCTACTTCTACCACAATGGGACCTAAAAATATAAAAACGCTTATGTCACATATAAGTCTGGCCCAACAATCGTAAATCAGACAAATCTGTGAGAGAGACAGGCGAATTTAGAATTAGAGGCACGCGCTAGAGTGAGATTGAGAGGTAGCTGTGTGTCGGGTATTATAAGTATTCAATGTTCTTCAGCCATTGTAGTGATTTAAATTACTACATTTCCATAGAGCCGACCGGCCATTATCATAAGCTTGTATTTTCGTATAATAACGATTGGTTCTCGATTACCAATAAATCTTCGGCACGTCCTAACTTACAAACAGTTCTGTTTTTGGCAGTCCTTGTAATTTGCTAACGATACAAAATCTATAATATATACAGGATGTCCACCTACCGCATTAGCTGATAATGAGAAATTCCTTAATGAATTCGGGATTTCCTTAGCGAAAATTTGATGAAGGACTCTATCGTCCGTTACAATATATCATACTACGAGATAGATATCTTTTTGTTTTGAAGAATTCACACACACGCACACACATATGCACATACGTATAAAAAGATCAAGTTATAACATTTAAAATTTCAGAAAATTAAGTCATTCATAAAATTTTCGCTATAAAGAGAAATTTTCATGCAACTTGAAATTCGTCAAAAAATCTGTCATTGATATTTGATGCGCTAATAGCTAAACAGCCTGTATATGTAGAAAAATATTGAATAAGAAAAGAAAGATATTTGGATATCAAATGTAAGAAAAAAAAAAAAAGATTTAACTACTAGACAACACACAGAGAAATAGTAGCGTGAAATAAACACCTTTCTTAGCCTTTGCCAATATGTTGAACCCCTTCTTTGATTGCTCTTCCTTGCCAGGTACTTGTTTCTTTATAGAACCAGTCTCTTCTACACCCATGCAAGCTTTAATAAGTTCTGCAGCATTCTCTGAGCATTTCCGTTTACCTGGTCTTGACTGTGGATCATCAGCTGTGCTCGACGCAACGGAACTCTCGCTCTCTTGCCTTTTCCGTTTCCCTATTTTTATTGTCGCGTTAGGAGACAGTTTCGATACTGCCAGTTTTGGACTTGCTTTCGCGTAGGGCGATATACTACGGCGTTCCTCTAATTTGTTAGGACCGTGAGGGCTGCTCTTCGGCGTCTTGGCGATATCCGGACTGTTCAACTTCTGCGATCTGGTTCTCAGCGATCTTTTCTCGTTGCTGTCGTTCGGGATATCGATCAGCAGCTGCTCCAGCAACGACTTCGGCGGCCTCTTGACGTACTCCTCCGAGCTGTTGGAGTTGAGCCTCTCGACAAAGTGTCCCTCATCGTTGTCCTCTATGCATATAACGTCCTGCCGACCCTCGAGCTCCTGCTTTCTCCTACGTTTACGCTTGAGGTGCTCCAGGTCGCTGGAGTCCACTTCGGGATTCTGCGCCGCCGGACTCGGTGTTTCGTCTCGCTGCAGCACCACGGGATTGGAGTACGTGTACAGGGGCGGGGTGATCCTGATCGGCTGCGGATCTTCGCCGAGGGGTGACTGGATACCCGCGTTCAGATCGCTCGTATCGTTAACCATCTTCTTAACCAAATCGTCCGTAACCTTTTGAAGATTCACGGAAGGCTCTTTGAGCGTGACCTGCTGATGGCTTTGTACATTATACTTCTGGTTCTGTTCGGTGCACGTTTCCAGCTTAACCGACGTTATGCTCAGTGGAACGTTACTGCTTTTTGAGACCTCGAACCGATCGATTTGCCTGGTATCGTCCACTTTTACGTTAATTTTAGATTCTACTTTGATTTCTGAATTGCAACTCTCACCGTTCGAGCAAGAATTATCTGTCGCCGCATTAGCATTGTTCGCGACCGCACTACTATCGAGCTTTACAGTTTCAACTTTATTATAAGCAACGTGATTTTGTATTATAGGCACACCATTATTATTATTATTATTATTAATATTATTATTCTGTCCGTGAGGTTCATCGCTTAGTCTAATTGCACTGTTACTTTCTACAACCGCCTTCGCGCTGTCCTCGGATACGCTCTCCGCAGCTCTCGACTCCTCGTGCTTAGAGTTTGCCTTACCCTGATCATTTTGGTTAACAGTACTCTCTAATTTAACGCTAGAACTGTCCTTATCGGAGAAGTCCTTCGCTTGCTGATGCGCGCATTGCAATAAGTTATTATCACTATTCATACTGCTGGTTATAGACGCTGTCACAACAGTCACTGTACCCGTCACCAGGGGACTGGGCATACTTTTGTCATTATTCGCCGTGTCTAAACTAGCAACCAAATCACTATGTCCACCACCAGTTCTCGGAACTGTCGACGATTTTTCGCTAGACACATTCTTCGCGTCGTGCTCACTGGAGTTTGATATATTGCGATTCAACTGACTCTCAAAATAATTCGTTACGGACACAGGACTTAACCTTTGTGGGCCACTGGACTTGAGAAGTTCCGAATGGGAATTTGAACACATATCACTACTACTAGTTGAGGAAGGCACGTTCTTATTGGTGGTTGATAAGGAGGGTACAGGTTCCCCCTGTATTACATTCTTGGCGCCGCTTTGCGTCACCGATTCGGTTGCCGACGCCGGCCTGTGCAGAGGTGACTCCCCTTGGTTCGGTGACTTTTCCGAAAGAGCGTCCATCGACTCGATGCCCGAATCCTCGCCGCCACCACCGCTACCGACTCTCTCGATATTCGCGTCGACGCCGATCCCAATCGGTACCGCTGTATTCTCAAGCAGCTTCTGCTTGACTTTCGCCTCGGTCACGTTTATCTCGCCGATGGGCAAGGTCGGCTTGCTCGCAGGTACGTCGATACTCTGCGACCTGGGCACTTGATCTATCGAGTTGCCGATTACCGAGCCTGGCGCGGTCTTCAACAGGCTGATCCTTTGCGACGCGCTGTCCATTTTGCTCTCCACCGCCGGTTTGTCGACCTGCTTAACATGGTTTTGAATTATCTTCTTATGACTGAAGCTCAACTGCTCGACTGTCTTGTTGTGCCTGTTTATGATGGAATTCGCCTCGCTCTTGACAATCATATGATTCTTCAGCTTCTGACAGTGTTCTCTTTTAACAGCGATATAATTCTCCATGTCGGATTTACTCTTAACGGAGAGCATCCTAGCCATAGGTGGTTGAGAATTTTTCGTCGTAGTCTCTACGTGCACAGGTATCTTGGTCTCAGGATTGTTTGATGGCTTTCTTGTGTCGCCCTGTTGCACCGACGAATTTGTCGATTTTAATCCAGAATCGCTCTCGAAGGATAGACTGGCGTTTGCTTTTATACTTGGTACCGTATTTGCAGAACTTTCAGAAGCCTTCTGATTATTAAAATGTGTAACTTCTGTATTCGGAGATTCTGTAACATATAAAAGTTAATTACTTAGAGTGTAACTTTGGATATATGAATTATCATTATTAGAATATTGATATAAAAAAATTATTACAAAATTGATATATATATATTTAAAAATATCACAAGAGATATTTAGTTAAATAATATAATAATTTAAATATTTTTGCATATAATGAGATTACGAATTAATATTCACCTCCTAAATGCAGATCTTTTTCATCCACCAAGCTTAACCGTCTTCTCTTGTCTTGAGTAATCAAGTCTTTCTTCACGCCATTAAGCTCCGTTAATTTAGAAGCAACACTGCTCAATGAATTACTTCTCTCAATGGCTGATTTATTGATGTCGCTATCGCTCGTCCTTCGAATTTCGCCAACCTTCTTGATTGTACTAAAGTCACTTCCGGTTAAAAGTGAATCCGGTTTTCTTATTGTATGAGTTATATCGCCCTTGTAACCGAGCTTTTTCCATTTCGCTTGATTATCTAAAATTCGACCTCCCGACAGCAGATTTTGTTCCCGATGTAAACCATCTCCGGATTCGGTTTTCTTCTTAGAATCCCTTCTCTTCGTTTTACCTGTAATATAATCATTACACATAAATACATATATAAATATACAACTAGCAAACATACGATATTTATATAGCTATTAAGTAGAATTTCTCACCTCCTCCTATTTTATGTTCCTGCATATGGTTCTGTGCATCGAGATCCACTTGAGTCTTCGTTAAAGCTTGTGGAGTATTTAAAGATTGATTCGCGATCGCAGATTTATGCTTCGAAGGAGACGGTATTCTACTGTTCAACGGTATATCGTCGACGTCGCTGTTTTTACTCGAACTTGGCTTGGTAGTGGTACCAGTTTGTAATCGTACAGCGTCCACCGATAGTTCTTGTTTTAAGGCATTGGATTTGGCTGCAGCGGCTTGCAACATGTTATTACCGACTTTACAAATGGCATTGTTTATTGTGGAAGTAGACAAAGGTAATTTCGATGCAGACGAAGCGCCTATAATCATGTTCAATGATTTCTTCTGCAGCAACTTGTTCCCATCGATGCATTCCTTCATCTTCTTCAATTTACCTCTCCTCTTAATTGCATCACCCTCACTCTCCTTTAGAGACTTCTTAACTTTTTCTCTTTGTACTACTGAAGCGTTACGTCCTCTTAAAGAAATGTGTAACGGAGGCACTCGCAGCGGTTCGTCACCGGTCCCCGTACTCGGGACACCACCGGCGAACATTTTATTCACGGACTTGTCGGCTTTCCGCATGGGCGGCGTGTTCACGAAAGAAACGTCAACTTTATAAGCCGGTGTAACCGGCTCCGATTTTTCCAATTTCAATCGCAGTTTGATTTTCTCCCCCGGCATCGGGCTATGCGCGGTCTCCCTACTGGATTTTATTCTACTGTGTTTTAAGCTTCCTTCGCTGGCCGTAGACTTCGCCGTTGTCTCGGAATCGGACTGATCCGTGTTCGTCGTCGTGTCGTTTCTTCTTGAAAAATTGCTGTCCGCGTCGTCGTCGGAGAATATGGAATTCGATCTGTCGTTTGACGGAGACGGAAAGGAGAAGAAATCGTCCTGATTATCCACTGCACTCTCGGGCTCTGAATCTGAACTTTCACTGGGCATTGGCTCTAAGTGTCCTGTCAGAGGATTGATCAGAAACTGTCGTATCTTCCCGGTCGAGGTGTACTCTGGTTCCGGTTCCGGCTCCGGGGCCTCCTCTTCCGGTTTCGGAGACTCGAAGGTCTCCGTCTTGTTGACAGACGGAGCAATGCTAGTAGTAGAATTATTTATACGAGAGCCACTTTGAGGAAAGGCACCTGAAACCTGATTCGAGACTGACAGACGTGTGGTGTTGACTTGAGCACCTTGTGGAATAGAATTGCTTTGTGCGTTCCACGTGGTCCCATTAGCATTGCTCGTTGCGGGAGACTGATAATTTCTACTAAGGATATTCTGGCTCTGCCCGTAACGAAAATCAGTAGTCGCGCTGGTATCTGTATTGATGTTCTTCACCTGATTATGATGCAGCTGTTGTTGTACATTGAGAGCCTGATTCTGCTGGCTTAAATGCGTTTGTTGCGGTACAGGTTGCCTCGGATAAGGCGGCGGAGTTTGCTGACGTTGACTATTTAAGTAACCTAGCCGTTGTTGTGAGACATTTAAGCCTACCGTCGAATATTGTGTCAGTTGTTGGGTGAGTTGCTGCTGCTGCTGCTGCTGCAATATCGACTGATTAAACGCAGCTTGCAACATTGTTTGTACATTCGTGTTCTGTTGCTGAAGCAGAGTCGGCTGAGCCGCCGGGACTTGCGGGACAATTTGTGTTTGATTTATCTGTTGCGGTTGCGCGAGGAGCTGTTGTTGCTGTTGTTGAATCAGCAACTGCCGTTGTTGTTGCAATGATGATCTAATCTGCTGTCCGTTTACCGGATGCCTGGCGGAGAGTTGATTCTGCAGTTGGACTTGCGAAGTTCTATGAGCCAAATCTTGCCTAATGGGAAACTTTTGCTGCGTTTGTACTTGATTGTGTAAAACTGTCGCTTGCTGCTGCTGCTGCTGCTGCATCTGCCCACCAGCCGGCACTTGATGCACCGCTTGCGGTGGCATCATACTTTGCCCAGCGCTAGTACCAATCACGTTGACTGCGGTATGTTGCTGCGGTGGAAGCGTCGACGGTTGATTAACGTTGACAGTCGCAAACGCCGAAGGCGTAGAAGTCTGTGGCAAGTCGGGAATAACCGGCGTCGTCGTCGCCGTACCGGCGATCAAGTCTTCGCTTCTCAAGGTATCCAAATTCGCTGGTGGCGATTCGCTGGGCGATGGGAGATCTTTCCTTCTAACCGTAGGTTTCTTGGTGGGTCTCATGCGATTGGTAAGTCCGGGATTGTCGATAACAGCCGGCGGTAACATCTTCTGACCAGATATGACGTTATTCGCGTGCGAACCAGCGTCGTTTTGTAAAAGATTCACGAGCAACGGACTGGACAGGGCGACCTGATTTCCGCTACCGTTCGAACTCCCTGCCAAATTGGTACTGTTGTTTGGTGACAGACTAGATGTTGTAGCAATCGTCGTGGGCTTGTACTGATTCGTTAATTGTCCGACCGTAACGACCGGCTGGGTTGTTGTATGACCGGTCGTCAATGCCGTGACTGTCGCCAAATTTTCTTGAGATGGATACGGGGGCGGCGGTTGCGCATGGTGTTTGAACTGCATCGTATTCTTGATTGTTGTGGACTGCGATTCGCGACTGTGTATTGCTTGGGCAGCGTGCGTCATACTGGCAAATGGGAAAGGACCGTTGTAGTTGTTCCTGGGCGATGCACTAGGATTGATTACTTGCTGATTTCCGGAAACGCCAGGATTCCCCGCTGACGTGGACTGTGCCGATTTCGCAAGAAACGGTGGAATAGGATCACAGTCTGTGGGCGCGACTACATTCGGAGAACGAAACTGAGGAGCTTTCTCTGATGATGTTCCTGAAACAAGAAATTTATATAATTTATGTAACTTATTTCGCTATAGAATATTAATTTTTTTATTCTTTTATTCATTCATAACCCATAAGAACTTACCAGCTGCTATTATCTGAGCAACATTATGTAGCGTCGACGAAATACTGGTGGCGTTACTGGGACCAGGCAAAGCTGTCGAAGGGTTACTGTCAACAGCAGCTGCGTTACTAGTAGCATCTCCTTGTGATTTTGCTCCGCCATCTTGCGTAGTTCCAGAATGTAGCACAATTTCTTGCGCGTCTCCACCGAAGCGACTGGCTATCCTTAAAGATATTACCTGCGAAAAATATACGACAATGTATCACTTAATCATTCTTTATTTCCTACAGTTCTACAATTCACAAAAATGATATCATTAAGATATGGTAATGATATATAAATAAAGCTGTAAAAATCCAATCGGATGGGTTTTAATTACCTGATCTCCTTCGACTTGTACTGAGAGTATGCCAAGTTGTGTAAGTGTTGGAGAACCCTGAGCCGCTAATTCTCGAAGTCGCAAAGCAGCTTCTCTGGGTATCGAGAATGTTACTCTGACAGAATTCCATGGTTCTATCTTATCTACTCTCAGACCATCTCGCTTTTCTGTAAATTATATATCATTTGCTTATTAATAATTATTTTATTTAAACGTAAGATTAATAATTAATATTAATATCAATTATTAATATCCTATAAACTAAACTTGCTTAAGATAAACTAAACTAAAATAAGCTTGCTTTACCTTTGCAAAGCAAAGTATTGAGATGGTCAACAATGATTTCAAACTTTCGGGGGAACTCTGGATCTCCAAGGTCACCCTCACAGGTTACCACCGTCTCGATCAGATCACCATCACTATCTGCCGCCATGACTGTAATATTCATTATTGATATTACCTTAACAATAATACCGAGCAAAAAATAAAGTACATTAGTAATAAATGTAGCAATAATAAACAAAAAATATATTATTTTTGTGTTCTTTATTAAATTTTAAGTGCTTGTGAGTATGTAATGGATAGATTAATAGTAATATAAAAAAAATTTAATCTAAGTTATAAAAAACGACAGTATTAATAAAAGTTTAAGTAATGTTTATTTTGTTTTCTTTATTAAAAGAATCTTATTTAAAAAAACAAAAGTGTATGTATTTTTCAACTTTTCCTTCAAAGATAATGAAATAAATTAAATAAATTCTAACATATTTATGTATTTAATAGTATTCAATAAGATAAAGTCAATTTAATCCCAATAATCACTTCTTATTTGTAACATAAAAAAATCACAATTACAGGAATCACAGGTAATATTTACACAATAATGAAATACGTACCAATCACAAATCACATAACTACCCAGAGAGTGTAGAAACGCCTCGGGGTATTGCTCCAACGTGTGTGATGATGAGATGTCGTGTGTCAGTCGTACACCGACAGCCCCAAATCACACCAGTACCACTAATCTTGTTTACTGTCGAAAAAAATCAGAGAATTGGAACAATTAGATCACACAGAAAGCAAATATTACATTGTTACTTAACACTGTGCATGTAAATAAGTCAATATTAATGCACATCGCCCACTTGCGTAATGCGCATGCATATTAACAAAATACGCATGATAACTTGCACAACAATAATACAATAATTTACATATATGGAACACATTTGAAATATGTTTGAACATATCCAGTATTCTTATAATAAAGTACACACATACACACATTCAGGCAAAATCACTCTCTCGCAGATATTACAAAAGTAGAACATTTTCTAGTTAAATATATAAATATAGATCAACTGTACAAAGTGCACAGTAAATTAAAAACAGTTCGAAACCTCTAACCTTATTTTTTTCTTCTTCAATCTACACACATGACAGTAATGACAAGGTGGTGAAAAAAAAAATCGTACGTAGTGTAAACCTTGGCAAATCATATGCTGGTCAGTATGTATATACACATACATACATACATTCGTACAGTATCATAGTTTTAATAGTGCAATGGGGTACTAATGGTATTTCGGATTGGTTGCGGTTTTATGGAGGAAGCGAGCGCGCGGAAAAAAAAAGTTTTCACGCGAGGATCGCGTATCGCGCGGAAATAATTAAGATCCCATGACAATGAGAGGCGAGAGAGTGCTTTCGATCGGGAAAAGCCGTATTATTCGCCGTAGAATCGATAGGCAGCTGGTCGCGCGAGAACGGCGAGAAAATGACAAAAACACACACGACACACAGCCAAACGCACGCACGCACACACGCGCGCGCGCGCGCGCCACACACATGCACACATCATATATGTACACACGCGCGCGCGCGCGCGCACGCACACGTATATAGGCGCATAAACAAAAAGTGAGGCCCGCTAGGCGTTACTAGGTTATAATTCGATGCGCGATTTCCGGGAGACACGGGGCGACTCCCGCGGGGAGTCGATTCCGCGGTCGGCGGGGCCGGGGCCCTCCCGCCGTCGCCGTCCTGGCGGGCGTACGTGCCCCCGCTAGGCCACGGCTTTTCCCCCCTGCGCGGAGCGGCGACGTGTTGCCCGTCCAACACCTCGCCGTGGTCCTCCGCGTACGGGCAATTAAAGATCCCCTAGGTGCCCGCGAGCGGCCCGCCGCCGCGGGGGCACCGTGCGCGCGACCAGCCTCTCGCGAAATAGGTTATAGAGCGCATTTTTTCGGCGGGGCGCGAAACGCGGACGGGCGCGTCGACGGGGATCGGCGGCTACGCGGCGCGGGACGCGCGTCCCGACGCGCGCCGTAATGATTTTCGCCGAAATACGGCATCCAGACCGTCGGGATATCGGGGGGGCCACCATTTTGTCCGTCGGGGGAGGTGTACGTGAAGTGGGCTCAAGCATGCTCAAGATAGACCGTCAAAAGTCGGGAATTATTTTTTTTTTCTTCCTCTCCCCGCCCCCCTCGGGGGCGCCCCCCGACGACGTGGACGTCGCGCGACGCGGCGCGGCGACCACGGCGGCGGGGCGTACGTATAGGCCCCCGCGTATATCCCGTCGACCGCCGACGGCCGCGGCACGTCCAGCGGGCCTCACCGCGGACGTCGCGCAGCGCCGATCCGATACCGTATGAACGCAGGAAAATTTCAACGTTACCCCATTTCTTTCCGACACTGTCCGGGATTTCACGGGTCCGTACAGCACGGAGGCACACCGCCCGGGCACTGGTCTTAACCTAAAACACCTCGCGCGGGCCCTACTTGACACTCGGCACACAGCGCGCGGCAGGGATCGCGAAAAAACTCGACATAATCGCTAATATAAAGAGACAAGTCATAAAACGCCATGAACAATAACAAGGTGCCGCCATTTGCAATGCGAGCAACTGACATGCGCAAATCAATCGCGCGGGGCACGCTGGGTAACCTCGTCGGGACGGACGGGGCGCCATCTTGCCCTGGTCGTTTTAACGCGACCACGGATCACGGAACTGGGATATACATATACGTGCGGTGCATGTCCCATAACCTCGAACGGCTCGAATCGCCGCGCCGCGTCCCCGATAACGATGCCCACCGATCCGCCTCGCCGCGCCCGGACGTATCTCGCGGAACGCGAAGCGCTATCGGGGGGCCCCGCTGCGCCCTCGCCCTTCATGTCAACCCCCGTCCTTTCGACGCGCGCGGAATCGCGCGTGTCGTATCCCTTTGCACCTAGATAAAGAATGCTTGGACCGTCAAGGTTGCTACAAAGCTGCAATTTAAATTGAACGATAGAATTTAAATACCGACTATAAGTATGTGTATATCGCTACGTGCCGCACGCGTAGTAGAGCTAGAATGTATATAAATGCAGCGAAAAGATCGCAGTTGCTCGTTAAATACGATTTACGAATTCAAAGCTGATCATATAATCAATGGAATGATTTTCGACAAAAACATATACTACTTGCATTGCGATTGTTTTATAAGACAAGTACCGACGCGCCGAAACATAAAAATCTAATGCAGGACTATGCAGATCAACCCTTCGTAGTCACACATGGGTCCATTGGACCCATACTCATTTGGGCCTAAATATCAGCTAAATGTTTAGCTTGAAATGGGGCTCCGCCATCTACAAGAGTTCGAAGTATCCTCTATAGGTAGAGACCGTCAATCATGTACTCGTTCACGATTTTTTTTCAACAACGATGCCATTTGATTTCTCACAAAACCGCAGCTGTTTTATATTCTAGAATGTTCAAGATATGTCCCAGAATTATTTGAACCTGATCGGACCGATACCATTAAAATGGCAACCATTCAAAATCGATTGGGTCCATATGACCCCAGTACGACTAACACGGAATTCCAGAGAAGTGTGACTACGAAGGGTTAATGCGCAGTCAGCAAGAAACTTAAGACATACGTAATAATACTATGTTGAATTTATTTATTATACATATAGATATAATATGTAATCCCGAAGAAGACGATCCTTCACATCCTCTCAAGTTTCTGCTCGTCTATATTTGTACACGTAAATCTACTTTTGTGGGGGAACGAAGGACTGCATGAGACCGGCGTCATTCATTATCTTCAACTGCTTCTCCGCGTCGTAGGTTCTGCAAAACAACAAAGTTAAAAACGTAGCAGAGAGACCTTACCATGTGAAGATTGCATATGAATGCAACGGTCGAAGAATTAGAATGGGATTAGGGCTGCGGTCCACTTGACGCTACAAATGCTTCGAAGCATTCTTCTTCTCTTTTCTCTCAATGAAGAAAGAAGGAGAAGAAGGACACTCCAAAGAATTTGTATCGTCAAATGGACCGCAGCCTAGAATTAATAACGGCGGTGTCCTGGGCATATTTGTCACGTACTTGTAAAAGTCGGCGTATCTCTGTTTCCTCTTATCGGCGACGAGTACCTTGAACGCGAGCGCCGCACTGACACTAATTATCATCATCCCTACAAGATTCCTCTTGATCTGCGACGTGTGGAGGTTCCGGAGCTGCGGTTTATTTTGTATCGTAGACATCTGAAATCCACATGAAACATTGTTATCGTAACGTAAAAACAATGGCTCTGTTTACATTTATCCATTTATGTTCAGTCTATCTTTTTCTAAGTTTCAGAACTAGAAGATAAAAAGTAAGTTGAATCAGAATTGAAGTTAATCTGCATCGATAGAAATAAACATAGGCAAATGCCACTGACTGGAACTTTCTAATCGAATAGTTTTATATTTAATAACAGGCAGATCTTTGTGCGTGAAAATAATTAAATTGATAGATCTTGAAGCAGCGACACAAAGCTGTCGAACGTCACGCTATCAAATCTTCCGAAATAGGTTACTTAAGCAGTTTATTTTAGTTTGTTTTTTTAATAGAAATACGCGCAGGGGATACTTCTTGATCCTCTCGGGGGAAACGAGAAAGTATCCTCGAGACTCGCAGGAGCGTACAAGCGTCGGTCACGAATCCGTGACGAAAATACACAGGTTTATACGATATCTAATCGATGCGGGATTCCTGTGATGCACGAGATATACCTATATTATATAATGTTTCATTTAACGTATACTTAGCGGCTTGTCTCTCGAGAGGAGTATCTCGTGCGAATCGCAGGCTAAAGACAATTTTGCCGAGAGAGAATATATCTTGCCTTGAACGAACTCGCTCGTGCCTATCGCTGTCAAAGCTAGACGCAGTTGAGTCTAAAGAATATCGTTGTGAATCAGACAGGTATATCGACCGTCGGCCACAATACTGCGACAAAATAACGTCAAGTGCCGTGTGCCGTGTGCCGTGCACCTCACATCTGTTTCCAAAACGCGACCGAATTCTTAAGTGAAGTGCATACGTATCGAGACGGGAGCGTCGACGATAACTGGGGAAGCTCTGCGTTTATTGGACACCGCGCGTGTCTCTATTTCATGTCCGTTTTTAACAAGGCAAATTGACTTTAATTTCTGTTTAACTTAAGGCCATTGCACGTAATAAAGTTTTAATTTTAATCGTAAGGCCGTAAGAAAATAGACCAATCACATTCGATTATTCTTCAAGCGCGAGGAGAATAGCCGACTGTGATTGGTCTATTTTTTTACAACCTTACGATTATGACTAAAACTTTGTTACGTGCAATGGCCTGTTTTTATTTTTTTTTTAGTTCTAACAATTAAAAAAAGATGGAAAGTAAGTTAATTAAATCGAGATAAAAGTTAATCTACGTTGGTAGAAATAGACATATGTAAGTAAATCATATGACTGTTTATGATAACAATCAAGTAAATAGAAAATTTGCCAATATATCAGTCAGATTGGATCTTTTGTGTCTAATAATATTTTTCGCGTACACTGTAAAAAAATTCTGTAAAATTACAACTATTATAGTGAGTAATTTTGACACCCACTATAATAGTTGTAATTTTACAAAATTACAGTACGGAAGGAAAAAGTAATTTTGTATTACAATTACACAAATTAAGAATGTGTGGAAATTTACACCTATTATAGTGGGTCTCAAATTACTCACTATAATAGTTGTAAATTTTACAAAAATTTTTTACAGTGTACATAAATTTATATATATATCATGCATATACATTAAAAAAAAAACCGCGCGCCATTATACTGTCGGGGTCTTGAAACGCAGTCCGAAGCTGAAGCTAGAGTAGTACAATCACATAATTAAATTGATAATCAATTTAACAGCACCGATACTAATACGCGTCTTTTAGAACCGTACAGCAAAAGGATGTTGCGAAAAATATCATCCCAGGGTTCGAATCTGGACCTCACGGACGTCTTTTATACCAATTCGATATTTCGATCATCGTGAGACTAATAATGTGATGACATTTATCGTAACAATCTATAAATATTAACTTAAGGAGAACGTCTTTTAAGGCAAACGTGTATAATAAATTATGTATTAAGTGAATCATGACCGCTATGATCTTTATAACAAAATCAAGTAAATAGGAGAAATATGTTAATATATAAGGTCAAACTGCATATTTTGTACTTATAAATAATATTTTTACTTCGCAAACCACGCGCCGTCACTGCGTCGGTCTTGAAACGCAGCTGCGTCTAAAGCTGAAGCTAGAATAGTACAATCACATTTGAATTGATAATCAATTTAACAACATTGATAGAAGTGGACATTATGCGAGTCATTCCTTTTTATTCCTGCATCGAATCTCTTCGTGCGACCTTTTTGTGCTGAAAATGAAACTAATATATACATGAAGAGTATTGTCTGTATTGTAAGAGCCTAGAAGAAAAAGAAAGGCTGAATTACAGATTGACTGAAAGAAAAGGAGAAGTTTGTTGTATAAACGTATCGGTTTTTGTTCATCGAAATCTGAAGTCGGTGAAGTCCCATCAACATTTGATTCCGAACGAATATTCAGCGCGATTTCAATGAAACTCCGATTAACTTAATACGCGATAAAATTCAACTGTTAAAATCGGAGCATAATTTCTAGCTATGTGTAATCGTCCCTAATCTAATCTTTTTTTTCCACATGTTAAACAAGAAATTAATGTTTTTCTATCCATGTTAACAAAACAGTGTACTTTTGATAAGTTAATCATTGATTTAATCGCAATTTAGTTGATCATCATATCATCACTGTTCTCAGAAAGAGGAATTGAGAGAAAAAAATAAGAGACGCGGAGAAGGAGAGAAAGAGAGAAAGAGAGGGGAGGGGGAGAAAAAAAGAAAATAAAAGAGAGAAAAGGACAGAGGGCATTACTGGACCCGCCATTGGGCGAATCTGGACAAATCGAGCGACGCAACGAGACTGCATCGCATCTACGGCGTTCACGGCGTTTGCGTCATCGGACAATTGTTTCGGGATTCTCGAGAAATCGTCGTCGAGGGGTGTCGAAGGGGGGGTCCCTCGATGAGTGATAGTGCGAGGGGGACGTTTCTCGTTTCTCGTTCTGTTCCGACGCGGTTACATAATTATATTTCGGCATGATTTTTCGGTCTCGCGTGTGAATCCTCGGCGGAGATCGCGGTCCCGTTGACGTTGACGCGATCGAGGTCAATGCGTAGGAGCGCGGACTCGCGGAGCGTGTAGCCTCGCTCGTGGCGCGATGGCAGCGTTGCGTTGCGCAGAAGGGCGAACGGCGACAGCTGACTAATGTGATTCGGTCCGTGGGAACTCAACGTCCTCGGCGTCCTCGCTCGCGCGTACATCTGTACTCACTTTGCACCTGCGAGCCCTACATAACGCACGTAGACGCGCTGGCTCGGACAAACGGTCAGTCGACAGGCACGGAGGATATACCCTAGTTTTTCTCCCATTCCCCCCTCGGAGGAGCCGATTAATCCTGAAAAGCGTGTGGGCTCCGTTCCTCGGGACGTCGCGCGTCGCTCGTCCGAGCTAGAAATCTAGAAATCCTAGACACACGATATCGGGGGAATCGATATCGCTCTCGCTCGAATTTGCCTCTCGGGGAGGCCAGGTATTTTGCATCTTGATTATATGTATACTATGGACACGCGAGATACGGTGTACTCGGTTTTTTATCGTGCGATTGTCCCGTCATAGTCAGCGCGAATTGTTCTGTACGTGAGTAATTTGGTGGATCAGTTGCCAAGTTGCACAGACCCACGTAACATGGTCTTGTTTTATTTTTGAAATTTAAGTAATCTGTCTCTCCCCCCCCCCCCCCCCCCCTTTGCGTATCGGGAAGTGATCCCCCCCACCTCGCATGAATTTACGTATTACGCATAAATTCTAAAAATGTTAAGAATTCTTGTCCGTCATTTGCATATTAATCGAATGTGTGGTGTGAAGAATGACCTGAATGATGAGCAATTTGCATTTCAAAACAGAGTTTTCTAGAGGGCTGTACCGGAGCAGTTGCTCTGTATCCAGCGATCATGGAACAGATGATCGCGCTGAGTACACAAAATCCATTGTCCTTATTGGTTAAATTTGGAATGATGGCCTGGAACAACAGCTGTGGGAACGATAACTGTTCCGGCCACGGGGAATGCCATAATGGGACTTGTCTGTGCGAGGTAATAAGTACTTCTGTTGATCTGTTGACCGCGCTAAATCGTTTTGTGACGATAACGTTGAATTATCTCGTTTCCAGATCCAGTTTGACGGGCCGGAATGCCACATCCCAAATCTAAGTTATTACATCGCCTTCGCCACGATTTTTTTCATACTCGGTTTCGTCTGCTTGATACAACTTGTCATGTGTATCGTCGCCGAGTGGCAGCGGATGAAGGCGCCGTCGTTTCTGAGAGCTTGCCGGGTCACTACTCAAAAAGTGTTGTACTTTGTGGTTTTCCTCGCGTCGATGATACGAGGGGCATACTTCACCTCGCCGGTATATAAAAATATTTACATTTTTTTTTAATTATAATTTTTTGTTTTTATTATGCTTTTAATCACACGGTCTTAATTTTCTTGCAGACTGCTTTTAAGGAAGGCTGGTCCAGGAGCTTGCTGTCAGCGTATTACCCGTTGCTCTTGAGTGGATCATCGTTGATCGTCTGTTTCTGGGCCGAAGTGGTTCATCTGAGAGACATTCGCTGGGACAAACCTCAGTTTTTGTCAAAATCTTTTCTGGCCTTTGTTGTCTTCAACATAATAACGTATTCCCTCTTATTAGCGGAGTTTATCACGGCTCAGACCTATTCACAAGTAGATCAAGTAAGTAACAGAATATGGGAAAATGTAATTTATATTTATTATAATATCCTATTGATTTGCATGTGTGTGACATTCTTGATGAAAATAATTTGTTAATAAAATTCTTTTTTCTTTCTAGAGCTTTTATGCACATGTATTCAATGGCTGTTACGCAGTGCTCCTATTCATTGTAGTGATCTTCTTCTTGATCTATGGAGTGGAAGTATTTTTCAAAGTATGCTCCTTTCACATTGTAATACTTTTACTACAACATTTATACATTGTCGAGTTTTCTTATGGGGTTTTTTTTTATTATTAGGTTCGTGGTGGATTCTTAAATGAATGTCAAGTTACTTCCATTGCAACGAATAAACGTGTAGCTGATACAACCAAAGTCCCTGCCGAGGATCAAGTAACGGCGAAGTTGTTCGATCCAGGTCCGTCTACATCTACAGCAGAGCCTGTGCACATGCAGCAAGTGAATACGTCTCAATTACATCAGTCAAGATTTGGATTACTCTCTCAAGCTTTTATGCTGTTTATAGTAGTTGGTTTTCTGTTCAGCGAGACTCTCAGTGAATTTTGGAAAACAAAGTAAGGAAACGAAAGAACAAATCTAAGTTGTAAGTTATAACAGAATTTTTAGACTTTTCCTAACGTATATTCTTATTCTAGGGTGCCATTGTACAGCAGGAATTGGCATGACGTTGTGTTTCGTGTTATTGAAGTTGGCGTCGCACTATGGTTTCCTTGTGTTCTTTGGAATTGTATGAGGTATGTGTTCATACTTTTTCATCTATCTTATAAAATTTCTTTCATAAATATTTTTTTTATAATATGCTCTTCTGCAATATCATTTCGTCATTTCTGTTTCAGTCCAGAGCAATTATGGATCTTAAATCCGAAGCGTTTATTGAAGAGACTGGATCTGGATCAAGGGAAACACATAAAGGAAATTGAGTTGCAAGAAAAGGGCGCGTCTCAAGATACCGCGTTTCTCTCTGCAGATACAGCATCGATTAACAGCAAAGATTGCTGGATCTGTTATGACAGTGAGAGACAAGATGCTGGTCCATTGATACAACCATGCTTTTGTAGGGGTGATGTAAGTGCTGTACATCACGACTGTTTGCGTCGCTGGCTCGTTGAGGTAAAGTGGTTACGACGTTTTATTTTGAATATTGCTTGTCGGATCATCTGTGTGTTTGTCACCTTGTCGATCGTGATTTTTTTTTCTTTCAGAGTTCTGTAAATGCTGACAGTCTCGTTTGTAAAGTGTGCAATACGAAATACAATGTTGAACATGCTAGCCGATTGGATTGGCAAAACAGTTTGACCCCACGCCATTGTCTACAAACTATTGCTATTGTTACCACGATGTGTGGATCTTCTGCTGCTGCCTGGATAGTTATCCAACTTGTAGAAGGACCCATCATTAGAATGCTCGCAGCCGGAACTGCATTACTGATTATGTATGTCTGCATAAGGTAAGTAAACGTTAACTTTTTTTTTTAGAACAATTAACATTAATACGTCCAATTTATTCATTATTGAAATTGTTTGTTCTAGATTCTTGAGCTTGAATACCGTTGTAGCGTATCAACGGGCCAAAATTTCATCGTTAAATATTGTTAACAGTGGTAGTGACAATAGTGGGACTGCACATGTTGCTACAATTAGTCATACGATTTCGGTGGACTTGACGAAATCGGACATGGCTTCGATATAATCTATACTTGCCATTGTGCTACGAGAACACAAGTATCTTCCTACTTGAAGTAGAAAGATTCAAAATAGGATAACTAGGTCCTAGAATAATGCCGATGTGTACGCTTTTCAAGCGTATGTAACGATAATGTACAAAACGACGATGATTAAGGTACGGTATGTTTCCGTTCAAGGTTTTTATATGCTTCTTGTAAAATAACGAAGTTGTTTTATAGAACGCGAATGAGAAAACTAAGAAGAGACATACTGTATCTACATTTTCACGATAGATTTAAACCAGTTGCCAAACTTCCATATTTTACTCCTCCTGATTATTTCATTATATGACATTCATGTTTTCATTATATTCATATATTCGTTACATCGCGTATAACATATATATATTTATATATATAATTTACATACTTGTAAGGTATTATCCACAAAATATGGACGAGATATGTTGTAATTACTTTAATTACTTTATTTTGTTGAAGATATTACGTTATTAATAAGTTGTATCTCATATTTATATATATAAGCAGTAAAAATTTGAATATCAAGTTTTAAAATTGCCATGAAGATTGTATTATAAAAAGTATATCAGTAGTATCAGTAAGCAATCGCTGTTCAAAAAGATAATACAATTTTCACATAGATATGAGTAAAATATAATTTCACTGGTGCAATTTATCTATTTAGTATTTATAATTACGTTAATTTTATAATTTACTAGTAAGTATTGAATATTTAAAAGGAATGTTATATAGAAATATAATATATAGTCATATATAGATTATTAAGACATAATATGTGTAAAAGATAGATTCTTCAGTAACTAAATACCAATAAGAAAAAGATTGGCAATTTTTCAAACTGCTTTACGGATTACCTTACATTTTCATCATCATTTTTTATATAAAAAAACGTGTCAAATTCAGTAAATCTCCATCTCATTGATAAGTTCATAATAAAAGAAGAACTGCGTTATTACAGACTGTATTAACAATTAAATCAGTATATTAAACATTTCTGTTGTATTAACAAATGATGTATTAAGATATAATTAAGAAAACTGAAAAAGCAACAGGTGGTAACATTGTATAAATCATATCTTAAATAATTGCATTAATAATTTGGCTTTTAAAAGTGCATAACAATTACGAATACTTTTTTACAGAGTGCTAAAATTTGCATTATTTCTAGAAGCATCTTTAAAATAGTAGATAATATATTTCTTAACTCATATATGTTTCTAAAATTTTGAAGTTTTGAGTCATAAGGATTATTTTCTTTAGGATGTTTTATATAAAAATATGATACGGATTATTAATGCAATTATATCCTATATAATTCTGAAGTTGTCATGATATGTCATATATATGATAGTTACTTTAATGTCTTAACAAGTATTCAATTTTAGAAAGTATTCAAGCATTAGAAATCCAATAATGGTTAAAGACTCCATACATATTAAATAGATTTTAAAATGAAAAAGAATTGATCTTAATTATATCTGATAATAATCGTATCGTAAATGAAATTTTTAAAAGCTCAAGAAGTATAGTAGATATACAGTGTTACAGTTACATCCCTATATTGTGCAGCAATAGTACGCTTATCTCATGCAATAAGTAAACTAACAAAATTCGTGTTACTGTATACTTCGTTATAGCACAACGTTAATTATATTATAACTTATTACAACGTGTCAAATTCAGTAAATCTCCATCTCATTGATAAATTATATTAACGTTATTACAACGTTATAGAACAACGTTAATTATTTTATAACTTACTTATTGATCGCATTTTTGGTTTAAATCCAATTATATTAAATTATTATTTGCATATAATTGAAAAAGGTAGTTTTATTTTATTTGAAGTGGAAGGAACAAAATCACTTTTTTAATTTACTTTTATAAATATAAATAACTGATTTTAGTTTCTTAATATGTGGATAAAACTTAGAAATGCTTACAATAAGTGATAAACGTCTTCATAATATCGGTATATTCATAATATTGAGTACCTATTAAGTTTAATAAATATATATCGTAAACTTATTAAACAAAAATAGTGATAAGCTGTGATAATATCATGTTATGTAAGATGTTCATATTAATGGCTATGTAATAAAATATAACAAAAATATAATTGATTCTTGTTTCTCTTTGGGGGAAAATATATATATATATATATATATATATATATATATTTGTGTGTATATATATATATATACACACACACACACACATATATATGTATCAAGACGTGAGATTATTAAAGCTTTTGATTGGAAAAACGGTGTAATTAATTAATAACTGGGTATTTTTTGTTTGTAGGAATGATTCAGAGACACTTTTTTTATTATCGTTATATTATTTTTTTTTAAGACAGTTACTTAAATATGTATGAGAAATACACGTTACCAATTAAATCGAATATTGTACTCATTACTGTAATTATAGATATACAAATATAACATAACTTAAAGTACGGTTTAATAATAATCTACTAATTAGAATTTGTATGTCTTCTCGCCAAAATTTACTTTGACTGTGCATAATATTACCTGTTGCCATGTGTTTATAAGTGAAACATATTGTGGCATGTTATTTTTCTCTCTCAAATTTAAGTTGAATATTATTGGATAAGTGATAAATGCACTGTGTCGTTCAACCTACGCTGAAACATTATCATAATTAAATGTAATCAAATGTAATTAAGGAATCAAAAAGAAATTAGAGTGTTATAAAGTACTTTTCATAACGAGACAAGCTAGAAATGCATGCATATATACACGTTCGGACATATTGATTATTCATTCATTACACCTTAATAAAAGATATATAAAATATATATTCATAATAAAATATAGCGATATGTTTACCTGCAATGCCAGCAATGGCTTCCGAAGCAAAGTATTTCACATCTACGTCGCTGTCAGTATTGAGTTTATCGAGGATAGGTTTTACTTGAGTTTGAACTGCTGAGGGTTCTAGGAAAGGTCCAATTCGCTGTAGAGTCTTAGCGACATTAAACCTTACATTCGCAACGTTATCAGTTGCCATTGTCAATACAGTTGGAAGCATCACCTTTGTCGTTATATCTGGACCACATACTTCAGCCAGAACCTATTATAGAAATTGTGTAAATTTACATGTTAGAATACATACTATTACTATTGCCATTGTACAGCATAATGATGTAGCTTACATTAATGCAGAACAAACATGTCATTCTATGAAGATAATTCTGATCCCTGGACATAGCCAAGACTTTAGGTATCACTGTATTCTGTGCCCAATCGGGTCCAAACTTCTCTACCAATTTCTTCAGATTTAACGTAGCTGCTTCTCGAATTGCATAAACATGATCCACCAACCAAGTCATGCACAGAGAATTTAATTTCTCATCAAAGAATTCCACGCCAAGTTGTCCGGCTAGTAATGGCATATACCTGAAATTTAAGCTATTAACACAAGCGGACTATTTTTTAAATTCAATTTAGACGAAAGCAAACATAATTACTCGATAATAGCTAGTCGCACACGCCATTTAGAGTCCTCGGCTAATTCCACGATGGCAGGTAAGAGGGACTGCGAGAGTTGTTGTATGCCAATAACTTCATTAACACATTCTAGATTACTAATGATATTGAGTCGCACTTCGGGACATTCATCTCTGAGCTGGGATAGGAATAGGGGTAACAAGTGTTCGATTGTGCTGCAAAAATATTAAACAATTATCAATCGATTGTTGTACTTTGTAATATTGTATTAAAATTATTATTTTATTTGTCCTTACTTGTGCTTGCCAAGAATGGGGCTTAATCCCATGATTACGCTTGCCAAAGCTGACTTTACGTGCTGATTAGGATCTGCTACAAGTTCTTTAACAATGGGCAATATATTTGTCATTATTATAGACTCCTGATTAAACTGATCAAGATTCTGGCAGAAATCGCGAACTTTATCGGCAGCTGCGGCCCGCACCTCTGCTTCGATATCTTTCAATAATACTTGAAATGCTGGCACAAGATCTGTTTTCGTTATTTCTGGGCCAACAGCCTTTTGGAGCTGCAAAAAAAAAAATATTTAGATGGTATTTTTAATACAAAATTTTCTCAGAATAAATCTCTATATATTAAGTTTTAAACAATGATACGTACGTCTGTAAATTTATCTGCCACCATGTAACGAACGCGCCATGATTGATCGCTAGCGCACTGCCGAAGCGTAGGCATGACCAATTGTTCAACATCCTCTTGTTGTAACAACGCTGCAATACTGACACAAGCTTCAACAGCCAAAAGACGAACTGAATCCTGTAAAATTATAAGTTACTGTACAACAATCTGGCTGATAGAACATTTATCAAGTTTCATCGTTTTAATGCACCTACTTGTTCGTCCTGAGCGAGTATAACAAACATTGGTATTAAATCAGATTTGAGGTACTCGATCTCCACAACTTTTGCAAACTCGCCTAATTTAGAAGCAGCTGACCGTCGCGCCATAGGTGTATCATCCTGGCACAAGCTGCGAAAGTGATTTCGCAATTCCGCTACAACATTCGAGTTCGCAAAACGTTAGGATTATCAATTTTATTTACTTAAAAACTGATCCGCAAAAAAATATAAGATTATTATACAATTACCTTTAATGGCTGGGCTCACCCTCGGATAACAAACGCTGAACAAGCCACATGCCGATGTTCTTGACGTGAACCAGTCTCCTGAAGCCAAGCGTTGCACTAATGGAACAAAGTGCTCCTCCAAATCTGCAGGACTGTGCTGGCTCGCGATATTTCTTAAGGATTCCACAGCTTTGTCGCGGACCACGGTTTCTTCCACAGTGGCCAGAGATTCCAGTGGTGGCTAAATCAGAAATTTATACATATAGTAATTTCTTCAATAGACAGAACGAAGATATTGAAACTGATATTAAAGCAGTATTCATAGCCCAATATTATATTTAAGATCGTCTTAAGCACAATCTTTGGTATGTGTGAAAGCGATCGACTCATAATTGGCAATCTTATTACCACTTAAAATCAGACTTGAGGTAAATTTTAAATATAGAGTCCGATTATAAATATCATTCTTAGACTTGTGTCAATTATTTTATTATCTAAAACAGATCTGTCATTACCAATAGACAATGCACGAATTCTGGCCCACCGACGAGAGGAGTAAACGTGCCGAGCTGTTCGGCCAACGCAAGGAGGACTTCATCCTCATCGTAAATCGTCTCTGTTAAAAACGGTATCAGCTCGCTCCGCGTTCGTTCGACGCCTAGCGCCAGCGCGATCGTCGATAACTTCTTGATAGAATTGAGACGTAGCTGTAACGAAAAGGACAACACATGATGATTTCTATAACAAGTGTTAACTGTGATAAAAGTAGCAATGAAAGCTGTTGCTTTATATACGCTGAATACGTAAAATTTTAGCTCCAACCGAGTATCTTTCTCACAATGACGTGTTCTAACACTATCTTATACTATCACAAGCACTAGTATCTCCGTGATCTTTTTAGCAAGTTCAAAAAAACGCTGTTTAGAGTACCGCTATCTCGGTGTTGTCTCCAGCGAACGGGTAGTAACGGGAAAGAGAAAAGAGGAGGACAAGAGGAAGCGGAAAGCTCACTCGACGCGACCGTTGTCGCGGCGATTACCTGGACGTCCTCATTTTTCAGCTCGTCGATCAGAACCGCGATCGGATAGAGGCTGTCGTCCGTGTTGGAGTCGCTCGCTGCCATTTTGCTGCCGGACAACACTGGTGATTCGGTGTAAACGCTCGTGAGGATTCCTCGTGGCCGCGTCAGATGCGCCTACGTCGATGCTCGCGTCTCCGGGTGATGTGTATCGGACACCGTTCTCGGGCACGCGCGCGTAGTTACAGCATAATTGCGGAACGCCGTTTAGTAATTTAGGAGCTCGCTCGAAATTCACCTGGCAGCCCCATGCGACTCCGTGAATCACTGACGGTAGTGATGGATAGTGATGACTCGCGCCGCCATCAGATGGCGACTCCCTATGCTCTCTTCTCGGCCCGTCCGCGTCGCGGACGAGGACGTCGAGGACGCGAGCTGCAGCTGCGCGGCGCGATGATGCAACTGCGTCCTGCCGGTTCTGCTATTTTTAAGCGTATGGCGATAAAGCTGTAATATAGCTAGAGATCGCGCCTAGAAATGTTTGTTAATGTTAAATGATCGTTTATCTCTTTTTAGATTATATTTGTATAAATTGAAATAACTTCCACTTAAATTTTTATAGCGTTTTTCGTTGGAAAAAACTAGCACTGGCAGCACTGAGTGCTTGAAGCGTATTTCATTGGTAGAATTAGTGAGCATGTTTCTGAAAAATACAAAAACTGAGAGTGCCAGTGAGTTTTTCCCAATAAATGCCGCCTAGATTCTTAGAACTTATAATTAGATTCTAATAAAAAAAATAATTTCGCGATTTTTGTTTACTGTTCTTTTCAAGATAAGTGCTAAAAAATAGCAACATGAGCAATATACTCCTGGAGTCATATAGTCCTGGTCCTCTCTAATATTTAGATTGAAAATTATACATGAAGAAAAATAAATGAAAAATTTAAACGCATAGAATAATAATTTATTTTAATCGAAGAAAGATGGAGCGTGGAGCCGTAACAAGGTGTTGGTGTTCATATATTCTATACTTACGTATAAAGAAATAACGAATTGTAATGTACATACCGTACATATACATATATTTCAATTTAATAAACTGCGCGCCGCAAATTTGTCGGACTTGAAACACAGCTATCTTGGAACATTAATACACTTCCCTACCCCGGAATTAAATCTACACGATTTAATTGTTTAAAAAACGTAAAGAATTTATTGCGAAAAATATTACCTCAGCCAGGATTCGAACCTGGAGTCTCCCTCATTCCGTGAAGGGCGTCGTACCAATTCGACTTAACATATATATATCATAGATATGTTAAGTACTGGTAAAAATTAAAATAGAAAACTATAATGCACAGGAGTGTTACACTAAAAAACTAAACTGCGTTCCAATAAATATTTTACACGGTGTAGCACAGTATAACACAGCGTATATCCCTTGCTGGAAAGTACTAATTATTTATTATTAATGTCTCTTCGGCAGAACTTCGAAACCTCACTGAGAGAAAAAAGTCGAAATATTCAGAAACAAATGTTATTTATGATATTTTCTTCGATATTTGTTGGCTATAAAAAAAAATTGATTATGATGACAGAATATACATTTCTGTGAAATATGCCTAATTTTCCTTATTAATTGTAAAAAAATTTTTATTTATTTATAGCTGGAAAAATAAATCTACTTGCGGCAAACTTACATTTTTTTATAGCAACAAAATATTTAGTTATAATAGAATAGAATTTATAAACAAATGAATTTATAAACAAACTTAATTTCTAGCTTACTGATTCGCATTGCATCGTGCAATATGGCGGACTAGTGGTGGTCGTGGCGGTGCGTTGTCGTTCTGTAGTGACTGTCTGTGATTTTAGGTATGTTGAGTGTAAAAGCGTTGAGTGTTTTAAGTTGAACTGTTAGTTCAAAAAGTGAAAGACAAAGTGAAACAAATCTCAGACACATTACATTTAGAGCCTGTTCACACGAGGCATTTCTGTCTCGCGGATGCCGCGCGATTGCCGCCGTGCGTCAACGTTCGCATGAGTCGCACGTTATCGCGAGGCAAAGTGTAAGAACTCGTGCATACCCACGGAACGGCGTACGCGCGACGGCGAATGTTGTATAATAGATCTAAAATGCCGCAAAGCGTATCGTAGCGCAGCGCACGCGTGCGTTGTCGCACTTCGCCTCGCGACAGCGCGCGTCTCGTGCGAACGTTAACGCGCGGCAGCAATCGCGCGGCAGAAACGCTTCGTGTGAACAAGTTCTTATTACAACGCTAAAGCCAGAATCTAATAAATTAGTTTGCAACATAATATCTTACTCATTAAAGCAAAGTGAGACGGCTGTCAATATACAGATAAACCTTTGCTTTTCTGTTTTGTTGGCTGAGGACCAATGTTCTTAATGTGTTAACATATTGAAAGGCGTCACTTTGCTCTAATGAGTAATATCTTATATTGCAAATTTACTTATTAGAATCTTGCTCCATCGTTGTAAATTGTGGCGATCTATGCCACTTACAGACCGCATCCGTGCATTTTTAACTCGGCGGAATTATATATATATACCAGCAATTAATTCGCAACGACATCGTTAAGCAGCGAATGATGGAAAGCGTTGCTCGTATTTAAAATACATTCAGCCATAATATATAAACAAACCCTTTGCGAGGCGAGAATAGCAGCATCGTCGCTATATAACTAGTTGCTAGTACACATGATTCCGCCAAGTTAAAAATGCGCGGATGCGTTCTGTGAGTGGCGTAGGTCGTCACATAAGTATAGTGTTGTCTAAGATTTGTTTTAAGATTTCTTCACAATTAAATTGTGAGAGAAAATTATAATTATTTAGTGAAATTTAATTTACTTGTCAGAAACATATTGATTTATAAAAAAAGAAAGATTAATATTTACAATTAAACAACTCATGCCGAAGAAATAAACAATTATTTGTAATAAATAATACTTATCTCAAAAATGAAATATATAGTTTATTTACTAAAAATAAAATTTTATTTCGCCGTATTTAAATAAGAGATTTATTTCTATAAAATAAACCTTATATCTCACAAATTCAAGTATTTTTTTCTCAGTGTTCAATAAATTCATGTATCTTTTTCTCTAAGTTGCTTCGGCCGACAATACGAGCTTATACTTGAGCGTGCGAACGCTCAGAACGACCATCTGCGCTAAATCGCTTACAAATTTCGTCAATTCTTTGAATTTCGAAATAACACTATATAGGAGCATATATTATTCTTGAGATGTAGCATAAGAATATATATATATATAGGTATATAATTTTTTTCGATTTTTTAAAAGTTAGTAGACCAGGATCCCCCTTTAACCAAGAGCTATCAAATGAGTTGTCCATGCGTAATTAGTGCACTATTATTGCACTATTAGTGCGCTATCAGCGCTATTGCGTCATTCTATTCTTGTCTTATCTTAGAAAAGGATTGTCAATTTTCCATGTCATTGGATTTGCGCAATGTTGAAATTAGTCATCTCGATACGCGTTGTGCATTGCTTACACAGAAAAAAATATTTGTGTAAAATTACATGATTATGCTAAGTTTTTTCCGACCCAGCATAATTATGCAATATTACTACTCATATTAAGAATTGCAGATTGTATGTAATTTCTCATGAAATAAAACTGTTTTTTTTTTCGTTTATCGTTATGAAAATACAACGAAATTTAAAACTATAAGTAATTTTCATATAAAAATAATAATTTCACCTATATTTTACCATTAATATGTATTTTCAGTTTAAAAAATCTGGGGAAAAAAATTATAGTAATAATTAGATAATTTTCCGATTTCAAACATGTAATTTCCATGTAAAAGTATATGGATTTTTTTCAGTGTAATAATAGATAATTTTCCAATTCCAAACATGTAATTTCCACGTAAAAGTACATGGATTATTTTCAGTGTAATAATAGATAATTTTCCGATTTTAAACATGTAATTTCCATGTAAGTACATGGATTTGTTTTAGTGTATGTTAGTACTATCGAGCGGCTATTATTGCGAAGGTTGCATATTTTTAGTGCGTTTGCGGAGCTCGCTATTAGCGATATTGCGTTAATGTTCCTAGAAGACACGTGCGTAAAAGACATATACATACGTGTCTTCCAAGGATATGCGCAACCTTTTCGCAATGATAATCGCTCGATATATATTATAGCATTAGGTAACGCACAATGCGCATCGAGATAATCAATCAACATCGCGGAAAAACGATGACAATGGAAATTTACCTTTTTTAAGATAGGGTCGTAGATATAGAATCGTAAACTACAGGGTGGTGGGTGATTTACTTAAGTGCTTGAGTCACTCTCTGAATGGTGGCAGGCACGTCGCAAAATTATCGAGACTTAACAACGCTGTTTTTGTGACAATTATTTGTTCAAATGCAACAATTTATATTAATTTATATCTTTGTATTTATCCTTCAACCAACTTTGATGTAATGCATAAAAAACATATAGATTGATTTAAAAAACTAAAATGGGAGCTAAATAATTAATAGGTGTATATATATATATATCAGATTTAAAAAATCATTGGAACTAAAACTTTTTAGATTTCGTAATATTGAAATCTTGAAAAATGTCTTTATAAATTTTGTAGCCAAGGGTTCACTCTTTACAACGATATACCACATTTTACTAAAATTATTTGTTTTGTTGTTAAAAATCGGCACCGAAAAAATAGTGACGACTTCGCTCCGGTCTCCCCTACCGATGCCGAGACACTTGAAACCCATGTCTGCACACCTTTATCATTTTAGTTTTTAAATAAATATAACGCAAATTATAAAATCGAAGATAAAAATATAATACAAGAAAAATATTCTTATTTTTGATTCTTTGATTTTAATTCGCGTTATAACTTATTTAAGGACTAGAATGTCCAGGCACATGTACATTTATTACCTTAGTATGTACTATAATTTACAATTTATATATTATATAATAATTTCAATCAAGTGCCAGGCAATCTCCTCGCAGAAATTAAAAAAACCCGTTTGTATATTGATGCTTTCGTGCCTTTAATTTTTCTTCGTTTTTTCCATTTTGACGTCACAAGGATATCATCTTGACTTTTTGTTCTCCTTGCCTTGGGAATCTTTAAGCGGAAAGGCCTTAGTCGATTACAAGACGTCGTCTGGGATTTTTCAAAAGAATTTGCATCTAATGGTATTTCCCAACACTTATATGTAGCAATGAAGCATTTAATTCTAATAGTACATTTTTTTATAATCGTGCATTAAGATATCATTAGGATAGCATAATAGCATTAAGATAGCATAATAATTAGATAGCACATATAGGGTGTCCCAAGTTTTTACGGCCAATTAAAGAACAATCGACATTTTAAAATGCAACATTAAAATCATATTGTACTCTATTAATAATAGAAGTAAATTTTTTCATTCGCGACGCATTTTATTTTTTTTTCTTATATCATATTTTTTAATAAGGACCTAGCATAGACCTGTGTAGTGACCCGTTTCAATTGCGTTTGCAATTTGAACGAACCGCTGGTGTTTTTGTCACTAATTTTGTCACTAATTGATGAACTCTTGATTTGATACTCGGTACGTTATTTTGATCGAAATCCTTAACGTAACTTGTGTAAAGTCACAGTCATCGACGAATTGCCAGCTTATTTAAATCAGTCAGTTATATTATACATATATTGCTCGCCCGATATAACATTTTTTTCTTACTGTTACCCAAAAATAAGTGATCTTGTTTGGTCGTCAAAACCGCGCAAATATCTTGTAGTAATTACGTGTAATTGCCCTAAAGTCAGTAGATAAGTACCTATAGGTACAGTGTAAGGAAAAAGTCTGGAACCAGTAAAATATCTTGAAAACAAAACATTTTGGGAAAAAATGTTTTATACATAAATTGTAGGGCTTCAACAAACGCATCAAACAGTAGTACTAATTTGACCTTGAGCGTAAGTATGGAGGAGCTTTCAAGGTCAACTTTAAAATTTTAAATGAAAACCCTCACATTTTATTTAATATTCTTGTAACTGATATCGAGAGCTTTTTAAAACACTATCAATAAACTTCTTTCGGTAGAGTATTTTTTGAGATATGTTGATAAAGTTCAAGTACCGGTGGCATTAGCATTAGGTGTACCGTGTGTGTGTGTGTGTGTGTGTCGTGTGTGTGTGTGTGTGTGTGTGTGTGTGTGTGTGTGTGTTATATCAACGTATCAACGGTTATTAAACTACAAAAGCTTGAAAGAGAAAAAACCTCTGAGCGTGGAGTTTAGCTGCTTATCGCCAGAGATGTCGACGCTTGTCCTTATCAAGCGTATCCTTATCAACAGCGTGTTGCTGGCGCTTGCTAGTGTGAGTTTATAGGGCTCCTTAAAAGATCACGTTTATAAAACAAAACCTGCGAGCGTTGAAGAATTGAGGAGCAGAGAATAACTAACGAAATGAGTTTAATAACCGTTGATATGTTGATATAAGACACACACACACACACACACAATGAGGTGTAAATCCGATCGTGCAACCTCCACGTGGTACACCTTAGCTAATGCTAATGCCAGCGGTACTTGAAGTTTGTCAACATATCTCGAAAAGTATTCAACCAAAAAAAGTTTATTGATAGTGTTTTGAAAAACTCTTGATGTCATCTACAAGAATATTAAATAAAAAGTACGGGTTTCCATTTAAAATTTTAAAGTTGATCTTGAAAGCTCCTCCATACTTACACTCAAGGTCAAATAAGTACCACTATTTGATGCATTTGTTGAAGTCCTACAACTTATGTATAACACATTTTTTCCTTAAAATGTCTTGTTTTCGAGATATTTCACCAGTTTCAAACTTTTTCCTCACCCGGTATAAGTATAAAGCACATACTTCTGTATAACGCATAATGCGTAAGCATAAAAAAATTGATGCATATACATGTGCATAAGAAAATAGACCAATCTATTTTCTTATGTTTATGTATTATGCGTTATGCAAAAGTCTGTGTTTCCCGCTTAAATGTTGATCAAGAGATACGGTAGTGTCTCGCGCCAAGTACTTATAGTATATACCTAACTTTAACGTCATTTGCATTACAGTTTACAATATATTCGAATATCTATTTTAACATAGAAAGAATACAATCGGCAGATAACATTAAAGCTGTAATCGAAGAAGACATTAAAGCTGTAATTCTACATCGTGGATATTGGTCATATTATTAATATCATCACGAATAAATTATCAAAATATTTTTACGAATTTATATTGTTATGTTATATCGTATCATGGTATCTTATACATATTATTAGATACCACACTTGTATATATGCGTGTAAGTATGTGTTAAACAAAGAGAAAGAAGAAGCATGAAAGATGCAAGCAGGAGAAGACAATCAATGACTCAAAAGAATTACGGCCTCTGTGAGAAAACATTAGTTCTCAAGTTTCCACGTAAGGTAAATGCACCACCATAGGGGATTTTTCCGTTCTCTTCTCAGAACAGCATATCTTTCTTGCTTCCATAGACGGAAATAAATCTTTCCCACCTGATAAAATTTCCACACGCGTATATTGTTACCGCAACTCAATATCTCACGTATTTACAATTTTTATTTCTAAAATTCTTACACAATAATTTATCCAGACAAATACCTAAAAACTTAACCCTAATGAACCTATAAGTCCTGCTAATTTGTCTAGACACACTCACTTACTTACTTTAATTTGAAACTTTTTTTCTGTATCGCTTAATTAGCTATAAACGACTAGTCCTAACAGATTCTTGCGTTATATACCAAAATTTCAGTTTTACTTGTTCTTTTAATAAGTCGCTTCAATCGCTACTTTTAATATTTGAACGCGTTATCGCTATTCCAATATATGAATATAAGAACGGTTAAAACAAATCAACGAAACTCTCAAAGTGATCACACCTTCGACTCATCACTTGCTCTGTGCCAATTGAAGTCTTATTTATATTAGTGGTACGATCGCCTACTTTTATTTTATTTCAACATTACGTTGCGTCTCGCTCGTAACAATATACGTACATGCAAATCGTCTAATTTTCCACGGTAAGTAAGGCTGTTTACCTGCCCGACGAAAATAACAGAATGTACCCCTTTCGTAATTTGCGTCATCGTAAAAAAAGATTCCATCAATAGAGGAACGTGCATTAACTTCCACGAATCTTATCGTTGAGCAAACGCGCGAGGAGGTGGACTGCGATCGTATTCAAGCAATGCTTCTTATCATAATATCTCGGACCGCTTATAAGTAGTCAACAGTTACACTTCTTCGGACAGCCGCATTTCGTGCTTTGTTACTCTCGGCTCGCGAGTCGCGCCAGTACCTGAAGATACCGAGATCGCGAATATGTCTCCCTGTGATTTCAACGAAATTAAAGTCTTCGACGACTCGGTGGATAATATGGACGTTATTAAAACTATAATCGACATGGAAAATCAAGAAGACGGTTTCTACATCGTGGATATTGGTGATATTATTAACAAGCACCGCGAGTGGATTACCAAGATTCCGATGGTCGCTCCGCACTACGGTACGTCGGCTTTAAGGACATACAAGGCAATGTCGCTTAAATTTGCGAAAGTATTGAGGTTTCTCATCCTCCTTTAAATTGATTTCAGCGGTTAAGTGCAATCCTGATCCGAATGTGATCAAGATATTGGCAGCTTTAAATACTGGCTTCGACTGCGCGTCCGAGGTAATTCACAGTGCCTTTTACCACGATCATATTATAGTCTTCAGTATTTGAAACCTTAAAATTTCTATGTGACTCGTTCAGTCACGAAATCTTCGCGCTTAACACTTTAACGCACAACTTAATTATTATTTTTCTCGTCAAACTTTTTCTTTAAATTAATTTTTTCAAATTATATAAGTTGCAAACTTAATAAAGAAATCATTTTTTTATATAACATCTTTATTGCTTCTCAAATCGTGGGACAGAATAAGCTTAATTTTAACGTGCATATAATGTGTCGTAATAGCAAGAAATCAGGCAAGTGATGCAGTACGGCGTGCAAGCCGACCGGATCATATTCGCGAATCCGTACAAGTGCCCGTCTCACATCAAGTACGCCAAAAAAATGAACGTCGACCAGATAACCGCCGACAGCGAGCTGGAGCTTTTGAAGATAAAGGATCTTTATCCCGAGGCCAAGTGAGTGTGCGAAATCATTGCTATTATTCGCCGTTGTAGCTACAAGCAGCATCCCGGTTCTTTTTTATCCTTTTATCCTTCCGTATATGATTGTGCAATATAATTTAACAATCTAATCGTACAACGGTCTAACAGGATAATAATACGCATACGATGCGACGCGAAAAACTCGGATTGCGATCTCGGACTGAAGTTCGGCTGCGAGCCGGACGAGGATGCTGTGCGACTGATACAGCTCACGATGGACCTCGGGCTCACCTTGCACGGCTTCAGTTTTCACGTCGGTAGCCCGTGCGGGGAGCTAAACGCGTTCAGCAGAGGCATCGGGATATGCAGACGATTGATCGCGATCGCCAAATCGATGGGCTGCAAGGACGTGCAGCTGCTCGACATCGGTGGCGGCTTCCCCGGTGAAAAAGGAACGGATATCGACAAGGTACGTGCTTTTCTCTCACGTCTTCTGCGTATTCCTGCATCGACATGATTCATCGCATCGACATTGTAGCGACATTCAAAATATAGCCTTTTAATTCATTTTTAAATTCCTTCAGCTCGCCAATATTGTCAATGATGCAATTCGAGATCTCGATCCCATCATAAGAGTTATCAGCGAGCCTGGGAGATATTACGTTGACTCGGCGTTTACCTTGGCCTCGTATTTACATTCCAAGAGAATCGTTCATAAAAACGGTAAAACTATGAGAATGTACTACGCGAACGTCGGGACGTACAATTCGTTTCTGGACGAAATAGTGGGCATAAAGTCTAGATACCCGCAAATTCTCTTTGAGGTACTATATATAATCATATATAATATGAATATCGTGTATGCAAGATATCTTTCTGTTCACGGAGAAAATTTTATAGTAAATATTACTATGGTGCCGCATTAGCTGCGGACCATCGAGGAATTTTAAGTTAAATTACTATGTTTATGGTAAAAATTACGTTATTTTATCGTTTTTAAAACAATAATTATAATATTTTAACTTAAAATTCCTCGATGGTCCGCAGCTAGTGCGACACCATAGTAATATTTACTATAAAATTTTCTCCGTGTTGTTGTAAAATAACGTATTATTAATTTATATAGCCGGTGAGTGATGAGAAATTTGTTTCGACTTTATGGGGGCCGACTTGCGATTCGTACGATGTAATTGTCAAAGATGTATTAATGCCGGAACTTCACATTGGCGATTGGCTGGTTTGGGAGGACATTGGCGCTTACTCTTTATGTCTCTGTACCGAATTCAATGGATTTCCAATCCCAAAAGTCATACCGTTTATCAGGAGAAGTCAGTGGTTCGTATAATATTAATTCACTGATATCCTTTTCGCACATGTGCGCCACCCTGTTTTTATCTTACATTTTTTAATATAAAAATTACTTGAACGAGACGTTTGTAAGTTTGTGCAAATTATTCCATCTAGAGCATCTTGTATTAAAATATCAGCGTGATTTAATCTAATTTTGTATCAATTTTGTTTAACTTGATGAAACATTAATATTTTCACACACACAGGAAAAATTTGATGCTGGCCATCAAACTGATGCAAAGACCCACGGAATTCATAGAGTGGTTTAAATCAATGGAACAGGAACATTACATTGAAAATCGCTGACAAATAAAATTATTTAAATACTAAATTAAAATAAAATTAAGATGATATAAGTGTTTTGCTTTCAATTAAATTAGATTTTTAATTACTTATTAATTATCTCTATATTTTATTACTTATTATCTCAATATTGATCTAATCGTTCTCGTTACATAGATGTGAATATATTGATAATTGTGGAATAATAACATGGATACTGCCTATTTTTAATAGTAATAAGCAATAGTAATGTTAATAGTAATAAGCATTGAGTAAAATATTGCAGTCATTTTTTCTTTATGATTTTATATTTAATACAAAATTGTGCAAGATTGTTGTTGTCTTTTATTTGTATGTATAATTATAAGCGTGATGTCAGATGATGTAATGTTGACTATTTTTAAGTTTATATTACTTTATATTATTTTTTTGAAAAAAGAAAAATATATATATAATACGTTCGATAGAAAAATGAAATGTTTCACGAAAATAAAAACGTTATTTATTATTTACACATTGTTATAACTGATTATTACCAAAATCTACTTAATTGTTTAAATGCAAAAATATCTTTCATCAGTTTTTTTCGATAAGTTTTCAATTCGTATGATTATATCTTATTTACACTTCGAGATGGAAAAATACCAAATATCAAAATACTTAAAAATATAAAAAATATATCTTCAGAAAACAAGTACATCTTAATTTATATTTCGCAGATAAATATATTATCATCACAGAGAAAAAGAGTTCTTTACATTTAGTATTTCTATTTGTTTGATTGAAATTTCTTTCATTGAAACAACATATGCTTAGACGTAATATTTTTTTGAATAAAAAATTTTTGTTTTTATTCAAGAAAACCCTGTTATTTAACGGAAAAGACACTGTCATTTGAAGTAATATTTCCCAACTAAATAATACATTATTTAGTATTTTACAATAAATGTGATAAGCGTTTTCACCGCTAGACGGCTGCTAAACTCGTACGTCAAATTCGGCCCCACGGCGAAAGCATCTATCACTCGCAGTTGTACACATCATTAGAATCCATCACCGGTCACTCGAGTGATGCAGATATGACAATTATTTATTATTTATTTATTTATATATGTGGCAGTCAACCGACTACCATATATATAAATAAATAAATAATAAATAAATGTTTCAGACATTTTTTATGAAGCATTGATATTGTTTGAATAAAACAATAGTATCATTAAAGCGACAGAGAATGTCTTTCGTTTTAAACAATTTTTTTATTTAAGACAAAGATATATATTCTTTTAAAAATCAAACATACGTAATCATTAATCGGAACATTAGTTTGTTTAGACCATTCCAATAATCAAATTTGTTTGGATGCAATAAAATTTATTAAATCCAAAGAATCCTTTTTCTCTGAATATTATATTAAAAAAATTATTTACCTATCGTTTGTGTAATATCGCGATCATCTTAATTGTAATCACCTTAGCAAAGATATTTTTAGAAATCTTCCAAAATTAGTACGTTATCTTTATACTCTGCTAAATATTTTATAATATTTTTTATTTATATTGGAATCGAGATCGACTGAAGGAGACTAAAGGGTATTGCCATAATATTATCCAATATTTTTATACTTTGCCTTTTAATGTTAATTATTTGTTAATAAAGTATCACATATCACATGTTTTTTTTTTACATAATCTCTGCTGTTTTAACAACCGTCCACCTCGAGTCTTTTGTACACCGATCTAGTTTTAATAGTATTTAAGTTAACAGATTGTTCAATATCTGTTGCATTTACATTGTCCCATCTAAAACAACAATAAAAAAACTTTGAATATAGAATATTATAAAAAAAGCTGTCACATTTTCCGGGACAAATTAAATTAACAAAATAACGTTTATGCAAAACAGCACTTACTCGATTGCACTTTGGCATGAGCCTGGAGTGAGCCCTTCTCTTTTTTGCGCGATATATAATTCTTTTCCTGTTATAACATCTTCTCGAGGCGATTCAGACGACAACAAAACCCGCACCTTTTATAAAAACATAATTAAAAGATGTGTCATCTGACTTGTATATTTTTTATAATCTTTGTACCTACCGTTTCCACAGCTTGGAAAACTCGAATAAGATTTCTTCCCGCCAATTTTTCTAAATCCTCCTTAGTCCACGTTGGCTCTCCCTCTCGACTCTCATACAAACGGTCGAATAGATCGGGATACTTTGAGACATCTTCCAATCCCACCGGCATTCTAGTTAATTTCATCAAATATATTTCGCCCGCATTTATTTATTGGCTCATCATGTACTAATCGCGTTTTTAGAGCTGATGTGATTACTTACGAGTTTACACCGTCGTAATCTCCACCGATACCCACATAGTCCGTCCCGATAAGATTTCGAATGTAATTTATATGTCCTGAAAATGTATCAATCTATAATTAATCAATGCTGATACCGAATAGAAGATTAATAATGTGTTAAACACGTATTTTGATTGACTAGATATATTAAAGATTGATCAACGAGATAATCAAAATTTGAAAATTGCAATAGATCATATTCATACGTATATCATTTCGTTGTATATACACTGAGAAAAAAAGTTGTTAATGTTAACTTAATTAAATATTTTCAGCTGATAATTTTTTTAATTAAAATATTTATGTATTTAAATTAAATACGACATATTAAATCTAACATGACGTAATTTGACTCAAATACTTAAATATTTCAATTAAAAGAATAATAATCAATCGAAAATATTTAGTCAAGTTAATAACTTTTTTTCTCAGTGTGCTTTGTTATCATTTTTTAACTTTAGAGATTGCCATGCGAAAAATTTACAAGAGCAATCTTCAGCTTTTTAATTTTACGATTGTTATATAAATTATAAATCATATGCTGCGCTCCCCGATTAAAGACAGTACTTATGACATCCTCCAACGTTGCGTTCCTCGAAGAGTTGCAGTTCACGAACTCGCTGTAGAAGTTCACCATAACGATACCGTTGTTCTTTTTCTGAAAGAAAGAATGCTCTTGTAATTTACGCGGTCCTTCCGGGGAACATTTTTGCGAAATGTCGACGACACTCACGACCAAATGTAGGACATCGTCGGGGACGTTTCTGTAGTGGTTGCATACGCTGAAAGCGGACGAATGCGAGAATATAACGGGAGCCCTCGTTACCGCGAGCACTTCTCGCATGACGTTGTGAGAGACGTGAGACAGATCAATTAGCATCCCAATTCGATTCATCTCGTGAACCACCGTCTATAATTCATAAAATACCATTGTTACTTACATTGAAGTTTTCAATAATTGAGCTATTCACAGTTTGATACGATACGTGAATAATAAGTGATAAAAGTTATACAGCTATCGAAAGTTAACATAAGTAGCGATCGTGCGTTTATTCTATTTTTATTTAATCAATTATTGACATTTTCGCCTAATCGGTTTTAATGTATCTCATCGATCTTGACGATGCGCGATGTGTCCACGTTTCGTGATTACTGTGAGTGCCGATAAATTCGTATCAATAAATCGTTACCATCTCAATTATCAAGATATGCTATACATACTAATAATAATTTAAGATTTTTCATTATTTGATGATATAAAATGAGAACTAATGCGTTACATCAAACTTAAAACAACAGAAACTGCAAGAATTCTCACCTGCCCGAATTCCGTCAGATTGTATACATATCCATCATTCACAGGCGATGCATCGGCCCTGTCAAGATGAAGATACACTATTAAAATTGTAGGGTCAAATTATACTCAATTTGAATCATTTTTAACCATTTCTATATAGGTCGCTATTATTCCTACTAAATATGTCGTTAATTTAACTAAATGAAGTTAAAATAATACTGTTTTGTGTTAAAATAATATTTTTCGACACATGGTGGTTAAAATAATAGTTAAAAATAACAAAATGTTATTTAACGTAAGGCATTGATTTAAATTTCATTCTTTAATATTTAACGGTGTAAAACTCATAGTAAAAAATTAAAGTTTAATCTTATTAATCTTATTTAGGATAACCGAGAAATAAAATGTTTCTGACGCAAAAACGCTTCTATCTCACTATCGGTTATCTGAAGAGAGATAAAGAAAATTGGAAAGTTTGCGTGTGGAACAGGACCGAAAGTCGCACTTTCGCATCATGCAATTTGCATCTTCAGGAATGCGCGCCTAAATAGCATAGGGCATTAATGCATTTAATTGTGATAAACGAAAGGATTCTGTGCGTTTGTATATGCACGTCGTACCCGTGCGACGTACCACGGTGTGTTGCAGTTGTGGGTCATGGTCAGATAACGAACCCCGAGGTCGTAGTAGAGCCTCAAAACCGCCAGGCTCGAATCGAGAGAGTGACCACCCTCGACGCCTATCATGGACGCTATTTTGCCGCTCCTCCACGTGGTCTCGATGTCCCCCGCGGCGGTGACCAATTGCAGGTTGTTCGGATATCGCTGAATGAATCGCCGAATCGCATCGATCTGTCGTAACGTCAGCTGTAGCGAATCCTTGTATTGCGATGCGCACGATACGTACGCCACCCAGAACTGAAAAATCGCGTGATTCGCACGTTATCGCGTAAACAACAGGTAAGATTATCCTCCTTGGCAGGGAATCCCGCGATAGGGACTTCTTCGCGGGGGGAGTTGAGATAATGATCATCTTGCGGGTACGCAGCGAGAAATGAAGTGGCGGACAACGACACGAGAAAGAGATGGTGGTAAAAGGAAAATTTCTTGCAGCGAAGAAAAGCTCGAGATAAAAAATGGCTAATCTATTAATTGCGGAGCAAATAGGTTGCGCGGTTCTTAGATAATTAATCTCGTATGACGGTCTCATGCGGGGTCTCGTGACCGAGCTCGTGACTCACCTGTCCACCCACTTTTCCCTCAATCAAACGAGGCAGATCGGTAAAGCACGAGGAACAAGCGGTTTTTCCCCAGACGTCGTCGTTACTTAGATTGCTCTCGAAACGAAAGTCCGATAAGCGATTGTTCAAAATCTTATAAAAATTGTACGGTAAATCGTTGTGGCTGCAAATATAATAAAATGTACATAAATTAACTGATCGAAAGAAAAAGAAGAGAGACAAGATGCAGATGAGACAAGAACACCTGTTACATGATAATATTAATCGCATTTTATATGAAAAATTATCGGAAATAATTATTTTTAGATGTTGACGTAATATTTAATTAAGTCAAGGAATAAAGATGTATAAAGAAAATCATGAATGTGAAAAAAATATTAACGCGTAGAAGAATGAGCTTTTGAGTGTCAACTTTAATTCATGGCCATTGATCTCCGATTGACGTAATTCTCACTGTGAGTTCCGGAATTACCAACATCACTATGTCGAATGATATCGATTGAATAATGATACGTCAAAGTCACTTGTGTTTTCTTATCGGCACGCCTCTACGATTATACTATTAAATTACCCATCGATAAGAGGCGCCGAGTCGAGAGCATCTCGCCCTTTAAAGGTGTTTATGCTTAGCCCCACGGATAATCCGATCACAAGCAGAAGAACTGACAGGCAAACGGCGACGTTAATGTACACCATTTTTCCCGTGCAATATTTATAAATGTTGCGACGAAAATCTAAAAAGCGACGAGAAAGTTAGAACCCCGATTTAACAGTAGTAACAGTAACGAAGTAATAGTAACGAAGACTGAGCAGCATTACTCAAATATATAGTTGATGTAAATAAAATAGAAAATAAAATATAAAAATATCAGTTTTAACAATGTGTATTATTTACGTAAAAGGCACGTAAGACGAAAAATAAGTAATATTTACATAAACAAAATACGCGCCTCATTATCGTAAATTAAAATCTCTGAAATTTTTTATTATCTGTATTTATTGATAAATTACTGAAATACAAAGGAAACGGAATTTTTTCAAAGATATGCGCTCAGACACGTTTCAATAACGTTTATCTTTAGTCGTAATTCTTCGTGGAGTATTCACTCGACGAGTGAATGACAAACGCTTTTAACTCGTTTAGAGCACTTATGTTAGATTAAGTGTTAGTTATTGATGCTATTGATAATACATGAAAGCACAGCGCGGTCGTCGTTTGAAACATGCTCTCGTAATATGATGCTTGATAATTGCTTATATAACAAAATAACACAATATAAATCCGAAAAGTGTATAGATATAATTTAATTTGTTAGATAATGTTAAGAATTTTGAGATGGATTTATGTATGGATTTATCAGGATTTATATATGTATATTTCCTTAAAAATCTCTATACATAAGATATGTACAATTTTAAAATTACCAAAAAGTAACAATATAAGATCAAAAATTCAAAGTATTAACGACGTTACTTCCTATTGTTATTAAATTAGATTTTTAATTATTACAATCAAATATTTTCTTGTTGACTTATAAATGTAATAAAGTTTGTAAAAAATGAGAATACATAACCGAAGAGTGAAGAATCATTGTCGATATAAGTAACACCGGAAATATATATCAAAGAAAAACCATTAGGCATCGTAACGGAAATATTTATCACTGATAATAATTATTTGAAATCTCATGCAAGCACGTGCCGTGATCTTTGATAAGCCTGATAGGCGAGAAAAAAATTACGGCGATTACTTAGTAATATCAGTGATATATATTTATCGCGATACAGCTTGTTATAATTATTGTTTGTCATCTATTTCTTTCTTTTTCTAATTCGGTTATTTCTTTTTTCTCCAATCTGAAGAGAATAACTTTTTGAAGATTGCTAATTAAACAGTCAAATTTGATTTTTATCAATAACACAATATCATTAATAAAGTCAAACAGCCCAAAATCGTAAGAAACTAGATTGATTTTTATTATTATATGCACAATTTGTGATTATATAAATTTAAGCTTATCTACTACACTCTACAGCAAAAAACTTATAATATAAGGAAACAAATTTACCAGTATTTCTGTTGTTATCACGTTGTCCAACTGGAGAGACAAATCGAAGCCTGCTAAGACTTTATATATACATTTGTATACATATATACATATCATATTGGTACTCATTGCGATTAGATTACCAATCGTAATTAAACGTATCGGGACAAACGTCTCCTTAATTAAATGCATTTATTTGAAAGGTAACGTAATGAAGTCCATTCGCTCCAATCGCGTAAAAAGCTAATCGTCCGAATTAATCGAAATTCGGATACATCGACTCGACAGTAAGAAGCGAGATAAGAAAATTTACAAATACCGACGTATCAGTTGTATCGTCAGTTTGTCGCACTGCAGCATCAGAAATTTTTATTTGCGCGTTTTCACTTTTTTCACTTCAATAAGAGTGCAGAATCGCATAATAAATGCATTAATTAACAAGTCAAATTCGAAGCGGCGCGGCATCGCTGACGAAGCGAGAGCTGCGAAGTTAAGCATTTCTTTTAATATCAAAGATTATGTATTGTATACATACGATTACGTTATTATAATTCCCTTTATTACATCAAGATAAAATCGATAAGCTACAATGACGCGGCGAATTTTTAATGATGAAAAATCCGCCTCTCAATAATCTTTAGCTATCGTTATCGCGCGTTCCAAATTTTTTATATCTGTCAAAATACGTTTATCGGACACTATGGATCAATGTGATAAGTACTAAATTTACTAGATTCACCCATGGCGAACGTAGCGAAGAATTCCCCCGACGGTGATGAGATCAAGATGTGTACTGTTGCGAGACAGCATCGCCTTGAAACGCGTTTAACGCGTGTTTCTACCCATTATACATACATATCTACGTGATGGAGCGATGGTACATAATACATTAGCTCATAATAGGTGTATACCTGCTGCGTTTGATGTCTCGCTCTAAGAGCGATAAAGCTCAGTTGCGTTTGCCGCTGCAGCTACAGCAACACGACGAAATCTATCTCTCTCTTCTTCCGTCTCTATTTGTCTTACTGTAATCCCTCGGTACACGCTACAATTTGATATCAATGATGAAACACAAAAATTTTCTAATTATGTAACGCGCACAGAGAATAAATGCGCTGCTTTCGCGTTTTTATCGACCGCCTACGTTTCTCAACGTATGACGTCTAGCTGATGCAGCCGTCCACTGAATCTTTCTCCTATCGGTCAGTCTAGATAAAATGTTATCTTTTATACTTTTTCAATTTTGAAGATACAAAATAACGCATCATGGAAATGTTATAATTAGCATATAAGATATACGTTTCTTATATCTCCAATATCAAAGATTGAATTTATATGGAGCTGTTATTAATTTCTATTTTTATTTTTCATGCAATTTATCACTCAAATATATTTATATGAAAGGCAAATATAGTCCGTTGCTTTTATTCTGGATGTATTAAAACGCAAAAGTTTTTCAAGTAAGAGATATTTTTTTATAAGTATATTACGCTAATTTCTTGATTTGGAGATTTTACGATAAATATAATTTTGTGTCATATCCATTTAAGCTATTTAAAAAATTTATGAAAATTTATTTATGTGTATTTTTATTCAGTAAGAATTAGATGAAATATCAAAATAAAAAAAAAGAATAAATAAAATAGGTTAGCAACTAGTGCTAAGATATCGACCATATTCTTTTCAAGTGAATATAGACTCATAACGTTTGCAAGTCATGGATAACAGTAAAAGTTACTGAAGTATCCACTTTATCGTCAAATGATAATTTACTTTTGTATAAAGCCTAGAGATGTCATTGAGTGTGTTGCTTAGGAGATGCTACCATCTGATGAGCCATAAGCTAATTCCTCATTCGATTTGATTAACAAATCATAGCCAATTTCTATTCTCCAATACATCTTAATAATTACTATAATTATTATGTTATAAAACGTAAAAGATTTTAATCATCTCTAATAAATCATAGGAAATATCTGTATAAGCCAGAAATGTAAATATCAGAATGTGCACGTAAGATTTTGTGGAAATAATTCTTTGACTTTGAAAAGTACGATAATAATAAATAGTTAAAACTTCAAGAGTAATTTTTGTACATAAAATACATATGAAATACTTTAAGATAAATATTTCTGTTATACACTCGTTTAAAATGCAATATCGAAATAATTGGGTCAAATAAATATTCCTCGAAATTTTCTCAGAGAGTCTGCTCCGGGCTTTAAAGCAAAAATAAGATTAGAGAAGATTATGATCTCCGGCACTTTAATACACTCGGTATAAAAGTTTCCTCGAAATTGACACACATTTTGCACACGATTTACCGCATGCTGTACACTTTTTTGGGGTCAACTAATATAGATAGAAAAAAAGGGCGAAGTTTGCCGCACGAAAAACGAAGATCCATCAAGATTAATGTCGCTACTTTACACGCTGGATGGCGTGTTTATTAACTTTTACGCCAGATGACAATTTCGCGGCAATGTCGGAATATTCCTTGGACTCTTTGGACAGCGTCGAGGATGATTCCTTGGAGAAACGTGTTTCGATCAATAGCGATAACGACGATAACCTGGGAACAGTCAGATCCGATGACAGATCCATCAAAAACGCTTCGTTTCAATTGAATTCTGCATTAACATCGTTACCCCAGATTAAAGGTACGAGAGATCACCTGATTTCAATTTTAGATAATCGAAAAAAAAAGGATTAAATAATGATTGTAATATGCGATAAATTATTCAATATATTTTCGACAAAAAACTTTCCCTTTTGGAAACGACGATATTCTCAGAAGATTAACAAACTAAATTAATTCCGTCTCATACGTTAATTAAAAGAAAGCCGCGAATTGAAAGGCAAAAGAAAAGCCTATGACGATATGTCGATATTAATAAACAACGTGAGATTTGGTTGAAATAAATACCTTTTCAAGATCTCCCGAAGGTAATGCTTCAGGATTAAAATTTTATATTTCTGTATTATATTGTATTGGAAACGGCTCTCGGTTTTCCTCGTTAACGGGAGATAATTGCGCGCGGGAGCGCGCATACGCGGCGCGTAAACAATAAAAAAGACGGGGACATCAGTGACGAGAGACGATCCGCGTAATGCGATTCGATTCGCCGTAATCCGGGAAGTCGCGGTTTTCGTCGACGTGGACGGACGGATAACGCGGGCTAATTAATTAATGATCGGCGCATAGTACCGTCGACGTGGCGCGGGCGGCGGTCGTCGGTCGTCGGGAAGTCGATCGAAAGTTCGACGATAGTCTGCAAGCTCGCGAAGCCGGGCGATCGATCGCCTCGTTAACGACAGTACCAATTATATAATATAAAGTAATATATCTGTGGCTGATTTCCTCTGGCCGTTCGCGGTAATATAAAACTCTGCGGGATAATTAAAGCGACGGACAAAGTTAGGTGGGATAAAGTAGCGTGGGTAACGTGAATGGCAAGGAAATCCGCTATTGATTCCAGCAGGAAACATGGGGTGAGGGATGGAATAAGAGAATTTTATTATGTTCCGGGTGAAAATATATGCTGGAAACGTTAAACGGTATAGAATGTTGAAGGGAGAATCTTTATGAAAAAAGTTACTGTAGTTGCGGGAAATGTACACAAAAAACTATAGCAATTACTGTAATATTTACTATAGTTTCGTGTACTTTTTTCGCGACTACAGTAGTCTTTTCTGTAGTATTTTTCCGTAAGGGAAGAGTCGTTAGAGGAAAAGAAGATACATTATACACATTACTACCGCATGAGAACAGAAGTCTAGTGCAATGCACGCAAATTGTGTAAATTAATAAATAGAAAAATTAGACGGATATAAATTGCTAATTGTAAAATGTTGAGAAAAGCATCCTGTTTCACGATGACATGGACTTATTTAGTTTTTATGCAAATACAGCTGCGAGAAAGAGCGCATTCGCATTCTATATAACCACGCATTCTGTCGACAATCTTTTTAGACATTACGGAGACCAACTGCACCGTACGTGAGGACAGGTGCACGAGCACAACCAGCTGCAGGAATTCGATAATTACGAGCGGAAGAGGATTCGCCCGACGACAACAGGAATGCCGCGCGACTCGAGAAGAACCGTGGCTTTGCATAAGAAAGAGGAATGACGTCGGGGAACGGCGAGAAGGCGACGCAAATCGCCGTCGTTGTCGTCGTACGTCGTCGAGACCGACGACGACGACGACGGAGACGGAGACGAAGCGACGTTCCCCGGGGGCGCGAAATTCTTCGTCAAAATGTAGTCTACACGACAGCGGAGGTGGCATGAGAGCCGACAAAAAACTCGGCAATGTTCTCACACTGCGCACCCGGGGAGGACCGTCCAGGACCACATCGTATTCGGAGCTTTACCGCCGCAGATTCAGTTAGTTAACGAGATCAGATTCCTCCTTCAAACGTGGAACAATGCCGAAACGCGTCATCACCCCCTGCCCCGTCGCATCCTTCGCCGTCGCCGGGCTCTGATAAAAAAGACGAGGCGAAGCGATGCAATTTTCCACCGAGAACGTTTACTTTCTTTCGCGATTAGAAGCGGAGTGCGTTTCTGCGTCGTGAGAGAGATTGGCCGAAAGGGACAATGAGATTCCCAATCCGGCGGACGAATCTCGTCAGATAGCTTGACGTTGTCATTTCGTTTCCTAAAACGGCAAGATTTTTAAATTGCGAGAGAGCGAGTGGCCAATTGGAATTCTAGGCTACGTGTTATCTACGTTTACCGTTTTGATCCGGCATGAGAAAAGCATAGCGACAAATGTACTAATTTAAGAGTCCAATTTTCATGAATACAAAAGTTAAAATTATCATTTCAAATACAATGCAAAAAAAACGACTCGTTTCTCCTCCCTGAACTTTTAAATTAAAGTAAGCTTTTTAACTGAATTATTTTCCCGCTCAGAGGAACTATTGACATTGAATTATAAATGTGAATGTGCTCTCTCTTTCTCCCTCTCTCTCTCTCTCTCTCTTTCGCTCGCTCTATATTTTTGAAAAGAGAAGCTTTTTTTTATGTAATTTGCAGGAGTCTCACATTGTGTCAAATTTGCCAGCAATTTTTTCTTCGTTGTACGCATAAATCTCGACTATCTACTAATGTACCGTCATACATCGTGTCCGACACGGTGAGGTTGGGAATATTAAATCATATGTTTGAGTTTTATTCAAACGCGTTATTGTAAGGCATGGAGTTTTATTTTGTGAGATGCTCGCCGCGAAGGGAGATTTTACCGCGGTGCGATGCAGGCATAGCTGCCACAGTTTCTACATGTTATGGCGCAGTAAAGTTGCACGATGAAAAAAGTTATATTTTTGCGAAAGGGGATTAAGCGTCTGCCCCCCTGTAAAATATTTGAAACTTTCGCCAGAAATGTTCTAACCGCTCCATGTTTCGTTTTTTTTTTGCGATGCGTAGGTCTGTCTCCTAATTGCAGAGATAAACTAATTTTATGCACGAAAAAGAGGACAAGTCCATTGTTGTAAAAAAGAATATTTTTTTGTCAAATACTATTTTTTATTCAAAAAGAAACTTTAATTATCATAAAAGATATTCAGGAAAATAGAATAAAATTAACTATGTTGTTTTAAATTCTTTCTCAAATAAAATTAATTGGAGTAAAGACATATTTTTTAACCAAAATTGAAATTTAGTATCACATTTATAAATATTTTGCCAATTCAATATATTTTTAAAGAGACAGAATTTTCCAGACGACAGCTAAAAAATATGACGGCATCTCGTCCCTTTGCTTCTAAAAATCCTGTCACTCTATGAGAGAAGTACGACGCGCGAACTTTTCAAGCGCTATTTTCTTCAACGAAGAACCGCCGCTGCCTCGAAAAGTCGACAGCGTCATTTTTCACGTCGCTGTCCGCCACTTTTCACATCACTTTTCCTTTCTGCGCGGAATTCGTGCCCCTCGACTTCGCCAATAGGCGGTAGCCCATGGTTAAACTAATTAAGGCACCTCGTGTGCGCGGTCGTTACCGCGCGATGACAAGCGAACAATTGTTCTCCTCGTCAGGGTCGCCAGAGCTAATTTCGTGTCGCCGACGGGAAGTTAGGGTTGCCACGCTCTTTTTTTTTTCCAGACATTCCGAGGTACCCGCGGATCCAGTCCCCGGAGGGTTCCACCCTGTCGATTTGTGGCGACAGTCAGCTCGAGGAGCTCAGCCTGGATGAGGGTCGCTCGTCCCTCCCGGGCACCTCGAGGGACGACAGCAGCGAGCTCAGCTTCTATCGTCGCTTTGTCGAAGGTCACGCCGTTCACGCAACGCATACTAGACGATCCTGCGAAATATTGCGTCGAGGAATACCTTCAGATACCGTCTCTCCGAGAGCGCAGCGCGAACGTAGCGTGTCGGACAGCAAGCTGAGGAAACCGACGTATCGTCCGTATACAATCGAGGAATACAGAAGTTTATCGGTGCCGAGACCTGATCGATCTCTGGGTCCTGATAAAGATGAGGTGCAGATAAAGGTGCGTTTTCGCGATAAAGTAACAATTTTTAATATTACTGTTTCCTTTTTCTTTTTTTTTCGAGATTAGATATTAGTTGAGCGATACAAAAAAAAAAGATATATTATAGTGCGAAATAGCAAATTAAGCACAAAAAAGTAAAAAATTGTTTAATAAAAAAAAAATTTATTTAGCAATATTTAAAAAATTGTTAAAATATATTAATTTTTGTTATGTGTGACATAGAATAGAGAAACACATTTTTCTTAAGGTATGTTTTATTGTATATTAAGAATTTTGACGCGCTTCGTTTGTCGAGAGGATCAGATTTTGTTGAAGCAAAATTCAGAGATGCGGCACGCAATTCTCATTTCCGAAAACTTATCTGTCGCGCGCGCGTTCGATCAAAGTTTCCGGGACAAGGAAAGTTCCCTCGCTTCGATAATTCACGTGTTCTATATTGCTCTCTCTCTTGATAATGAGTATAAAAGTATTTTATATTACTCGGGAACGTCATTAAAACTTGGCGTGCCGAGTTCTCTTGTGCTTTTATCGCGAGAATTTATCTTCGCCTCGTTTCTTTTATCCTTATCCTTTTATCTCGCTAGATGTTTATTGCTGCGTCTTCCCCGTTAGTGTCCTCAATGTGAGGTAATTACGTTACGGACTGGATCGCACCGAGAGTACGTACGTTAATAAACAACGTTCTCTTGGCCCGACGAAGTTACACCGTTACCGCGCAGGAACGTAACGCCGTGATTCGATTTAATGCCGGTAATTCGATTACTTCTTCAGCATCATCGATGCTCATCGTCGACCGATGCAGCTCGTTGCAGGCCGTCTTAATTGCAGCGCTTCGCAGTCGCACGCAAAGCGGCATCAGTTTCGACAGTAAAATGTAGAATAAAGCGCACTCATTTCCAATACCGCGGTACAGCGAGAGAAAATTCGAGCGGTATCGGATCCGACGAAATAATACGGAAATATGGACATAGAGAGAACTTTTTCGCGCGAAGTAGCAGAAAGCTCGATTTGCGAAATGAGAACTTTTACCGTGCAATTTTATTTCGCGCCGAGCCGGCCTTGTCGATAAGTCGCCACAGTCGGGAAAGGCTTCCTATGCCGGAAAAGCGAAACGAAGGAAACTCCGTCGAGTCGTATACTGCTGAGAATCCGGCGATGCAGTTAACCCTTTCACATTGGAAGACCTAGCGGGCTAGCGCTCCTTCGCTGAAGGAGTTGCGTCGACGGCGACGCGCACGGCTTCAATCTAATAAGCACGCAACTCGTTTCCGGGATCGAGCGGGCCATTTCCGCTCGCGTCTGTTCTCTAGTTTCCACCGACGTGGATATACAATATCAAATTAAGGGGCTGCGTACGACAAATTGCAGCCCCGACAATCGCGCGTGACGATGAGCGCGTCACGACGACGAATCTTCCTCGTCTGTCTCCGGAGGACGACGCGCGCGGACGCGCAAGAAGCGCGTCGCAGTTTGTCGCCGAAGCGAAAAATTCAATTCACGAAGTACTTTAATCCGTTAATTGCGATAATCGTTTCTCCGATGTAAAAGCCGAGAGCACGTTACGCCCCCCGCGTGTCTCTCTCTCTCTCTCTCTCTCTCTTTCTCTTTCTCTCTCTCGGCAACTGTCTGAAGGGTAAACTGTTGCAGCTTTAACGAAATTTTGAATTGTTCCTCGCAAGACTCGTAAATTATTCTTCGCGCGAGTTTTCATAAACTCCTCGGCCTCGCGTGTACCTTCTCTCCCGTAAAATATAATTTTTCGTCAATTTTGCCAGACGTAGAAGGTAGGAAACGTCAGGTTCTGATGTTTCTAACAATAAGATACACGTAATTCGTGCCTTCGCAGGCTTCTTTAGCCTCAAAGCTCTCCTACATGCTACTTCTTTAATATATGCTTTTTATACGGTCTCAAGAGAGCCCGCTCTAAGCCCCCGTCAATAATCGCAAGTATTACGTATACTATACGGAACTGTATCTGAATCTTAATATTTTTTACAGAAAGAATGTCTGTCTCTTGCGTCTCTCCACCGTCGGTAACGCAAATTTCGTAAATCAGATATGCAATAAGTAAACGAGGAATGCTGTCAATGACATCTGTAGATTCGCGAAATGACATTCCGCAGCGTCGTTCCCGTTGTTCTTCAGGACCCGCTGTCGCGATGTCGCGGAATTCCGCGCACGGAGTCCTCTCGTTGCGGATCGTCGTGCGGCGGCAGGTGCGCAACGCAGGAAAATAGCTGTCGCTCTCATAGTTGGAGGGAATGCACTACATTCCCGCGGCCTTTGAGCGTCTCGGCCCGGCTCGGCTCGCGAGAACGGGCGTTCTGTGAATTTTTCAAGGCGCTCCCAGCACTCCCAGCGCGCGACCAGCGAAATACACGGAAAACAGCGAAGACTTTTCTTACACGCGCCACACGCAAGCGGCCGCGCTGCGCGCCGATCGATGTGTTTGTTCGCTCGTGTGTCTGGAAGGAAGCGGAATTCCAAGTGCTCTGTCGTGGCCCCCTGTCGTGCCGTTTTCGCGGAAACAATTTTAGCAGATTGGAAATTAAAATTTCACGCGACTCCGTCGCGGTAGCGCCAGCCCCCTCGCCCTTCCCGAGACGTCGAGAGCCCCTTTCTCTTTAAACGCGCCTCGGGATAAGCGGAAGTGCTTCGTTATTGCGTCACGGAGGGGCGTTCCCCAACATCGTTTCCGTGAACCACGCGGGCGGAGATGCCGAGCCCGCCGCGATGAAAAGTTTCAAGGTGCTTCGCCTCTGTCGCGGACGAGAAAGAACGAAGATGTCGGGCGTCATTTTCCTTCTCTAAGCGCCGCGAGCAGTTGGAAAACGAACTTGATAAAACTCATTTGCGTATGCATATTGGTTCGCATTACATAAATTGTCTTGAGTTACCTTTGTTTATTTAAAATTTACATTATGTAATATGTAATACATGCATAAATATTTTGATTTTAATTAATTGTAAGAAAGACTGAACTATATTCAAAGACAACTTCAGCTTTTGGACTTTTTGCTATAGGATCATTTAGAAATAATTTTTGAATATGTGTTAAAAGTTTGATAGAATTATAAATGAATGCAAGACGAACTTTTTGGGATATATTAATTGAAGGAAACATTAAGATATGCTTGTCCATAAAAAGACACGAGATAGTTTCCTTAAATACTAATATTTCGTTAAAGCAAGTACATTATTTATAAATCTAAAAAATTATCTATAAATTTATTATCTAATAATTTATTATCTAAATGATTTTAGGTTAATTTTAGATTAGATTAACATAAGGTAGAAACAGCTAAAAGTAAGTTTAACTCCTCAATCAATCCAAAATTGACTTTAATTCAATGGAATTTAAATTCCATTTTAATTAGAAAGATTTTTATAAAATCAACGAGTTCAATTAAACCGCCGTTGATTAAAAATTGACTTCGAGTTGATCAAAGAATCTTATCAGACGAAAGAGCGGAGTGCGCTCTATATGTAAGGTATCGCAAAAGGGCGGCGGCGTCACGCCAATACGTTGTCCGCAATTAGACGCTGTAGAGAATCGCGACACGTAAAGCCGTAAAAAGCTTCAATTGCGCAATCGAACTTCGCCGATACCACGTCCAAGTACAGGCGAACAGGAATTTCCGCTCTAACGGCGAACACCGTGAAGAAAGAGAAAGAAGGGGAGAGAGAGAGAGAAAGAGAGAGAAAGAGAGAGAGAGAAAAAAGGAAAACCAGGCGGGGACTTTTATCCAGGTGTTTCTTATAAGCGTGGGCGCTCGTTGTACACTCGCAGGCTATTATCCGGGATTACCGGGCCCGCCCGGGTACGAGAGGAGATAAGTACAGCAATATACGGGAGCAAATTTGTTCCCGACGAAGCCGCCACTGGCATCGCCATCGCCGTCGAGGGTAGTTTAAATGAAACGCCGGCAAGGTATAAAGCTGGACGAGGTGTCCGCGGATGACAGCGGCGGCTAAGGCGCGAGACCGGCATGTTCATAATTATAGCGACTCCCGAAAGCTTTGCGTTAATATCGCACCCAGTAATTGCGCGCGGCATTAATTGCCCTCGGCATTAACGTTGTAGATGTCACCGCTGAATTGGAGAATGTCGTCGAATGTTGATATGAGTTCGTACAAATGGCCATTAATTTTCAGCAAGCAATTATTTTAATTAGTTATTATATATGCAATAGATTATATTGTTATTAGTATTATTATATATAGTACTATATCTATGTAAAATGTAATTTTACTGGTGTGACATGTTTAATACAGCTATGTTGTTATATTATAATAATATTACTATACATGATATTAAATGTATAGAAACGGAAGTCATGTAACCTTCCCTCTCCCCCCGGGAGAGCATATAAAGCTAATTGACTATATGTAAATAATATTACCATGTAGATTAGTAAATAGTAATATTATTTTACTTAACGTTAACTATATACATATGTACAGATCGATATAACAATATTACCATGTAGATTAGTAAATAGTAATGTTATTTTACTTAACGTTATACATGTGATTACATGATATAATTATGCCATTTTATGATCATACGGTAATAAAGGTAGATTCAGTGATCAATCATTCAGTGATCACTTATCGGTACTTTAAATGTTAGGCAAGAAGAGATGCGACATGCTCGTATCGCATATTTCATAAAATACGAAAAGTTGTACGTTCGACTTATCTATTTTTAAGGGTGGTGCCGTTCGATCCGTCGTGACTGATCCGTTCCCTCTGCCAGATGCAATTTCTTCTTGCGTTTCCTTTTCCTTCTATCCGTCTCGCACGATCGTCACGTTTATCTTTTCTCCCGTTCGCCCATTCGGTCTATCCTGTTTCTGTATTTCTTTTCGCTGTCCCACCCCGAGCCTGCCTGTCGATTTCTCC